CTGTGAGAGACAGAATGTGAAAAAAAATCCATGAATTCACATGGCAGGATGTTTAAAGAATTTATTTGTAAATCATGGTGGAAAATAAGTATTTGGTCACTTCAAACAAGGAAAATCTCTGGCTCTCACAGACCTGTAACGTCTTCTTTAAGAAGCTTTTCTGTCCTCCACTCGTTACCTGTATTAATGGCGCCTGTTTGAACACATTATCTGTATAAAAGACACCTGTCCACAGCCTCAAACAGTCAGACTCCAAACTCCACTATGGCCAAGACCAAAGAGCTTTCGAAAGACACCAGGAAAAGAATTGTAGACCTGCACCAGACTAGGAAGAGTGAATCTACAATAGGCAAGCAGCTTGGTGTGAAAAAATCAACTGTGGGAGCAATTATCAGAAAATGGAAGACATACAAGACCACTGATAATCTCCCTCGATCTGGGGCTCCACACAAGATCTCATCCCGTGGGGTCAAAATGATCATGAGAACGGTGAGCAAGAATCCCAGAACCACACAGGGGAACCTGGTGAATGACCTGCAGTGAGCTGGGACCACAGTAACAAAGGTCACCATCAGTAACACACTACAACGGCAGGGAATCAAATCCTGCAGTGCCAGATGTTGAAGCCAGTGCATGTCCAGGCCCGTCTGAAGTTTGCCAGGGAGCACATGGATGATACAGCAGAGGATTGGGAGAATGTCATGTGGTCAGATGAAACCAAATTAGAACTTTTTGGTATAAACCAACTCGTCGTGTTTGGCGGAAGAAGAATACTGAGTTGCATCCCAAGAACACCATACCTACTATGAAGCATGGGGGTGGGAACATCATGCTTTGGGGCTGTTTTTCTGCTAAGGGGACAGGACGACTGATCCGTCTTACGGAAAGAATGAATGGGGCCATGTATCGTGAGATTCTGAGCCGAAACCTCCTTCCATCAGTGAGAGCTTTGAAGATGAAACGTGGCTGGGTCTTCCAACATGACAATGATCCCAAACACATCGCCCGGGCAACAAAGGAGTGGCTCCGTAAGAAGCATTTGAAAGTCCTGGAGTGGCCTAGCCAGTCTCCAGACCTCAAACCCATAGAAAATCTGTGGAGGGAGTTGAAAGTCTGTGTTGCTCGGCGACAGCCCCAAAACATCACTGCTCTCGAGAAGATCTGCATGGAGGAATGGGCCAAAATACCAGCTACTGTGTGTGCAAACCTGGTAGAGACCTATAGTAATCGTTTGACCTCTGTTATTGCCAACAAAGGTTATGTTACAAAGTATTGAGTTGAATTTTTGTTATTGACCAAATACTTATTTTCCATCCTGATTTACAAATAAATTCTTTAAAAATCCTGCCATGTGAATTCATGGATTTTTTTTCACATTCCGTCTCTCACAGTTGAAGTGTACCTATGATGAAAATTACTGACCTCTGTCATCATTTTAAGTGGGAGAACTTGCACAATCGGTGGCTGAATAAATACTTTTTTGCCCCACTATATATATATATATATATATATATATATATATATATATATATATATATATATACATTTAAATCACTTCAATATCTGGTGTGATCACCCTTCATCTTCAAAACAGCAACAGTTGTAGCTATACTTGAACACAGTTAGTGAAGGAACTGGGCTGGTAGGTGTTCTAAACATGTTAGAGAACTCACATCCTTCTGTCTCTCCGTGTGATCCCACTAAATGGTGTTGAGATCAAGGCTCTGTGAAGGCCCGACCATCACTTCCAGGACTTCTGGTGTTTCTTTACTCTGAAGATAGTTTTTAATGAATTTGGTTGTTTGTTTGAGGTCACTCATTTGTATTTTGTATATTGATAAAAATAAACATTGTTTATTTCTATTCTTGAAAGTGTTCTTTGCCCTCAGAAGAATTTAATTTCTCTATAAGGTCAGGATTTTAGGCACTTAGCTTTTAGAGGTCTCCGTGATAACATGGAATGATGACATCATGTAGTAGTGATCTAGTAGTAGCAGTAGTAATGAGGTTTAGCTCTAGCATGAGGCTACTTTAATATGGAAGGAGTAGAAGTAAAAAGTCTGTTAATATATAAATATTTAAGTGAAGTATAAATACCCAAAAGCACATTAACAAAATATTTTAACTTTGTTACCTCACACCTTCAGTTATTATGCAGTTCAATTAATTATTTCAATTAGTTAAAAGTTTTCTGTCAAAGGAAACCCAGCAGATTGCATGGAGTCACTGACTTGTGTCTCTACTATAGTACTAGCAGACACTTTTATACAAAGGAAGTATTGAACCGAGATCAAGACAAAAATCATTGTAAAGCCTCAGTATTTTTGACATTTGAAAATGCTATTCCTTCAGTCATGGTTTTGGTGGATCTGGATGATGAAGAGCCTCTATTTATTTCTCTGCACATGATTATGTTGTGTATAATAAAGGAGTGTTATGTCAGAGAGCTATTACTCACCACATCCGCTCATCTGACTACTCTGTGAAATCTGTCCTCAAATGATTCCAGATGTTAAAGGTAGCGTTGTGTATTTGTGTGTGTGTGTGTGTGCGTGTGTGTTATGTTTTTTCATTTGGCAGACGCTTTTATCCAAAGTGACTTACAATTTATAACCTATAGGGCATGTTGTGTTTCGAACCTGCAACCCTCGTGCTGCGAGGCAACAGTGCTAACAACTGTGCCACCATGCAGCTGTGTGTGTGTGTGTGTAAATATGGAACTTGCCTTCTTTCCAAACTGCTGATGTATCACTAAAGAAGGAAAGGGAAGCTTTAAAAAGTCACATTTGTCTGAGTCAGCCCCCCCACCCCCCAGCAGACCCGTTTTTGTGTTTAGAAACTAAAGGTGAGCCTCGTGGTCCATTTCATACAAAATATCAGTCAGCAAAATTAATTCCTCAAACCAAATAAGATGGAGCATGTGAGGGCACCATCATTGGACATCTCATGTTATAAAAGTAAATAGTTACAGTTACAAATTAATTTTTCAAAAATGTAATTGAGTCAGTAACTCAGTTACCACTCTGTTAAAGTAATTAGTTACATCACAAAGTAACTGTGACATTATTCTTATGTTCTATAATGCAGTTATGTTCTGTAATATCCATAACATCAAAGATATTTATAACTGAATGATTCTTACTATCTAGAAAGAACTTTTCAGATTACGAAACATTTTTTTCAGTAACAATGTTCTAATGGACATCTGGAACACATATCCAGTTTGCCTAATAAATGTTTTGAAGGTCATGATTGTTGTACTCTTCTTTTTGACCATAGGTGAGGGTAGGAACGTAGATTGACCGGTAAATCAAAAGCTTAGACTTCTGGCTCCGCTCTCACTTCACCATGACAGATCTGTACAACGCCCACATCACTGCAGACGCAGCACCAATCCACCTGTCCATCTCATGCTCCATATTTCCCTCACGTATGAACAAGACCCGGAGCTACTGAAACTCCTCCACTTGGGGCAGGACCTCCCTGACCTGAAGAAGGCATTCTACCCTTTTCCAACTTAAGACCATGGTCTCGGAGCTGATTCTCATTCCAGCTGCTTCTCACTTGGCTGCGAACCACTCCAGCCAGAGCCGGAGATCACGTTCTGATGAAGCCAACAGGACCACGTCATCTTCAAAAAGCAGACTCAATCCGTAGGCCACCAAAATGGATTCTCTCCAGACCTTTGTAGTGCCTAGAAATCCTGTCCATAAAAGTTGGGAACAGAATCGGTGACAAAGAGCAGCCTTGTCGGCTTTCACCAGAAGTAAGACCAAATTGCTGCCAGCTCTACCACTGGTCATACAGGAACCTAGCAGCCTGTATTAAGGGGCCTGGTACCCCTTACTTCCGGAATACCGTCCACGGGGGCTCCCCAGAGGACACAGTTGAATGCCTTCCCCAAATCCACAAAACACACGAGTGGTTTAGGGAACACCCATGCACCCTCCAGGATCCTGCTGAGGGTACAGAGCTGGTCCAATGATTTATTTTGCCATTAAGTCAGTTTCGGATTGATAAGCTTGTACTCTGCCAGGGTATAAGGTCCTACACGTTTGTCAGGTAAATGGTCTGAATATTTTTACTATTTTTGATAACTCTACATTTAATAGAAAGGGCACCTCAAATTTCACAAGAACGATATTTCTAATTAAAAATGTAACAGTGAAAAAAATCATTATGATCTCTGTACTAACACTAAACCGCCCAGGTCTGAAGAAAGCATAAACACTGATGGATCAGAGCCTAAAGATTGTTCACTGGTGCCTGCCAGCTAAAATCCTTATCCATGTAAGCTCAGCTGCCAGATGTTGTGTTTATGGACAATCAGTCACTGGGGGTAGTCTAGACTGACCCAGGACCTGCCAGCATCTCCACTGTCTTTTCTGTCAATATGGAGTTGGTGAGCATCACACCAGCTTACAGACATGCACTGCACAGCTCCAGGTCTTGTGGTTAGCAGATCAAGTAACAGTGTTATCAATGCACTTCACTGCATACTGATGTGGCTTGGAGCAAACACAGTCATTAAAGAGTAAAAAAAAAAGGGAATGACTTCACTGACTGCTGTGGCCTAAGAGACAGAAAAGACTGATACCACCTAAATAAAAATTAGTTCACATCAAACTGTATCCATTTCTTCAAAAGGAAATGGAGCTGAATAAAATTAAAAGATGTGCTAAAATCAATAAAACCAGTCATGCACAGAGGGGCTCTCCAGTATATAGACCATAGTGTATTTCCATCTTGTCGCCACTGGAGGGCATCAAGTCTCCATCTCGCCTTCTCTTCCAATGGTTGAACACAGTTGGTTTCAGCTTCAGACCCACAAAAAAGCAATTCCCCAAGACATGCGACCACAAATATCTCAAAACAAACATGCTTCAAAAGCTAAATAATTCTGGGTATTTATAAAGCTGTCGGCTCATCTTCACATTTATCCATTTGTGACAATTTAACCGAGTTTTAGTAACAGGTCAAAGCTTCAAAAGTGGATTGCGTAGGATTTAGTTTCTTTAATGTCTCCCTTTAATTTTTGAGCAGTGTAATACTAATCTATACACGAACATGTTTCTTGTTAGAGAAATCATGTACATTTTCTTTTCAAAGAAATCAAACTCAGAACGTTTTTACAATAAATAAATGGTAAGTTCTTAACATTTTCAAATTTCAGCGATCAGTATCTGGTTGCAACAGCACAGTTGGTCTTTTACTTTCTTATTAAAAATATTTACACAAACATTAATTAGAACTAAAATAGTTAAACAACACAGAGCGTTTAACAACAAATCTTGAAACCGCATAATATTAAAGGTGAATGGAGTATGACATCCTCTGGTCAAACTTGGGTACTGCAGTCCATGTATCAAAACAAACAAGTCCGCTTTGAGCAACTGACGAGCAAAGACGAGTCATACACTGTAAGCTGGTAAGTCGATAAATACATTTGTAATATCAAGTTGTTGGTAATAGAAAAAAAGTAGCTTGAGTTATTTTTAGATCTATTTATTTTTTTCTAATTGCCCAACGTTACCCTCTAGTCTTCTTTACCCGATATCAGAGTAAAACAAATAGGAGGTTCTGGCTTCTTAGGGGTACAAGATATAACTTCTGGGCCAGTTCTTGTACTGGCTAGCATTCTTTCCACAACACTGACCCTCTTTGCTGGCAGGAATCACATTACAAATTGCAGCCGGTGCAGACTTGGCGACACCATGAGCTCAAATATGACTGGCTCTGGAACCAGGAAGTATGGAGACAGGAAAGTGACTGACAACGCCTGGGGGTGTCTGAGAAGGAAATATGTTATAATGGAACCTTCCTTCTAACATGACTGAGACATTAGCTTTTGGATTACTGTTTCACTGTAAAATTATAATTTATTGCACCTTTAATTCTGTGTGAAGTCTCATCAGTGTCTAGGAGCTGCTTTCTTTTTCATCCTGAGTGGACTCACATTTGTGCCCAGAGTCAATTCAGTGCTTTGCTTCCTGTGTGGATTCTGACGTGTCTCTTCAAATTTGTCTTAATACTAAATCTTTGTCCACAAATATTACAAGCGAACGGTTTCTGTCCTGTGTGGATCCTCATGTGTGTATTTAGGTTTCTTTTATCACTGAACCGCCGTCCACAAATATCACACGCGAAGGGTTTCTGCCCTGTGTGGATTCTCATGTGCGTGTTTAACTTTGTCTTTTGGCTAAATCTTTGTCCACAAATCTCACAAGAAAAAGGTTTTAGTCCCGTGTGGATTCTTGTGTGTGTGTTCAAACTAGTGCTTTGGCTAAATGTTTGTCCACAAACATCACAAGTGAAAGGTTTTTGTCCCGTGTGGACTCTCATGTGTCTGTCCAAATGCGTCTTTCGGCTAAACCTTTGTCCACAAACATCACAAACAAATGGCTTCTCTCCGGTGTGGGTTCTTGCGTGTGTGTTTAGATGCGGTTTTTGGCTAAAACGTTGGCCACAAATATCACAAGCATATGGTCTCTCTCCTGTGTGAATTCGCACATGGGAGTTTAAGTTTGATTTCATGTTAAATATTTTACCACAGTAATCACAACACAGTGATTTTTGTCCACTCGGGTCTTTCCTGTGAGAATCTACATTCTTCTTCTCTCCAACACATTTCTTGTTAGCCAAAGTTCTTGAAGACTTAATTCCTGAATGACTTGCCAGATGTCTCTGAAGGGAGCGCTTGTGGAGAAACGGTTTCCCACAATCAGAGCAGAAAAAAGATTTGTTAACGGTGTTGACACCTGGCTGAGAAGACCTTCTCTTCTTCCTCACTTTATTGCCATATTCAGCGTTTGGCTCAAAGTCTGACAAGAGTTTCAGCCGAGAGTTAGAATTGTTCCCATCCTGGTCATCTTCATCATCCTCACTGACTTTGTTCACTGAAGAGCTGGAATCCTCTTCATGAGGATTTAGATGTGGGTTCCTGGTAATATCTACACCTTTACAACCCTCTCCACCTCTTGCTGCTTTTGTTTGGTATGTGGACCTGCTGGCTGGAAGATCTTCTGTTTGGAGCCGATAGTGCAGCGACAGCTGGGGTTCATCTTCCTCAGGCTGAAAAGAAAGTGCATTAAATGATGTCCTGGTGGTATCCGTCTCCATCCCACTGAACTGCTCCTCATCTCCATCCTTCATGCTGAAGGACTCTGCATCCAGCTGATCCACACCAGACCTCCAATCTTCAGCTGACTCTTCTTTAATCAGCACCGTCTGCACATCTGCAGGGAACTCTGAAAGACATGAACATTAAAGGCAATGTCAACTTTAAATTCACACATGCACCACTTGTTATTGAAGGGGTCGCTGAGTAAACACAACTCCTGGTCTGAAAGTCAAAGTTGTATTTTCTTTCTCCATGAGCTCACACAAGTTTTCTGATTGTATTGCATAACAATAATGCAAATAAATAAATACATGAATAAATAATAATGATCCAAACCTCCCGATTAGCGGTGAAGGTTACAAATACCTAATGCTGGATGTCAACAAAGCCTCCAGAAACTTAACCCGTACAAGACAAGAGATCCTTCTGAAAAACTCAGACAACTTGGAAAAACAGAGACATCACTTGGCCGCACACTGAAAAAGGGATAACGTTAAATTTGACAGGTTTCCAGTTGATAAAATACACCGAAGGCAATGGTTAACAGCCACAGAGAAAGTTTGTCGGAGCCAAAGTGTCATGACAGAATAAAAAAATTAAGTATCTGTCCCACATGTCCAGACACGAACAATGACTTGTATGCCTTTGTAACCGAGGTAAATTAGTTTCTTTTTATTAATTACACAGGTTCTGAAATTGGAGCAGGCAGCTTTTGGTGTCAATCATTTTGTTTACGGAGCTCGTCAGGGTTGGCAAATATATAAAAGTAGCTTATTTATGCATTTATGAACGGTTTGTCCCTCCTGAGATTTGCCCATTTGTTCTTGTGTTGTGAAGTTAAAGTCCCATCAGTCATCATTACACATCTCCGCATTTGACCCATCCCCGTGGGGAGTGGTGAGCTGCAGCTGTGGCTGCGCTCAGGAACTAACCCCCTAATCTAACCCCTTAAAACTGAATATCAAACAGGGAGGCATTGGGTCCCATTTGTAAAGTCTTTGGTACGACCCAACTGGGATTTGAACCCCGATCTCCCAGTCCCAGGGTGGACACTCTACCACTAGGACACTGATAGTTTGGAGCAAGTAGCCCCTAATCTTTTTCACTTTGCATTTCTGTTTACTTGACTCGTCAGAAATAAACAGAGAATCTGTTTATCTCCAAAGATGAATAGTGACTCTGTGATCCTTCAACATAAACCCGCTCAACCCAGAAGAGATCTGGTTGCATCTTCGTTGCTTCAGCGGTGAAGAGTCCAGCTGCCAGTTCTGAGGACTGTCATCTCACAGCTCGTTAGCAAATTCAAACGGATCTGGAAGCTTTGCACTAAACACAGTTAGCTTTGAGATGTTTCTCTTTGATCATCTACACAAAGATGTGTTAGATGATGTAAAGGAGTAATATCTAAATCCTTAAGTTTTTATTTTAGCTTAAATATCAACAATACAGCTCTGGATAATGGCTGGAGACTATGTTTTTGCTCTCCTGCATTGTGCACTATTATCCGGATGTAAACAATAACATTCACGACACACACACACACACACACACACACACACACACACACACACACACACACACACACACACACACACACACACACACACTTTCAGGTGTCATTCTCTCTGCTTGGACATCTTAGCTTGTGCCTTTCAGAATTATTTATCTTTGACATCCTTGCTTTATGTTTTCTCTCTACTTATGCATTACTGGTGGTGTTTGTTGATCACCTTCCCCATTTTCCAATGGAAATTTGGTGGATGAAGTCCTGGTTGTATCAGTCTCCATCACCACACTGAACGGCTCCTCTTCCTCCTTCATGCTGAGGAACTCTGGGTCCTGCAGGTCCACACCAGGCCTCCAGTCTGCATCTGATTCTTCTTTAATCAGCACCGTCTGCACATCTGAAGGGAACCCCGAAGCACGTGAACATCAAGGACAACTTTATATTCACACATGCATCACTTGTTATTGCAATACTTGATGAAGGACAGTGTCTCTGAAAAATAGGTTAGGAGCCCTCACGCTGACAGCATTTAACACAAATGTGTGGTCATTCAGGTTTCGTTTGTTCAGAGACACTTTTATTAAAAGCTCTGATCTGTTTTGGGTAGGTATTTCATCAGTTAGCATGCTAAGCTACAAACATGTTAGCAAAAAGCTCGACTAGCTAGCTGCAGACTAACTAAACTGGAACTGACATCACCGCACTTGACAGGAGAAAATAAAATATACAAACCACGAATGTTCCGTTGATCGCTGGGATTTAAAATAGCACCGAGACGTTTTCTTTGCTGCTCATTTTCCTCCAAACGTAACAGATCCTGCTCATTCACTTCAGCCCTTGGTTCAAAAGTCTCCGATGTTTCTCCCGCTGTTACATCCAGTCGCTGCTTCGCATATTGTCTCCTCATGAGCTAGTGCTCATCAGCATTGTCCTTTCACTGGTGAAGAAACATCTCATCGGTGAGCCCATCGACATACATATGGGTGAGCCTAATGGTTGTTGACACAACAACTCAAATGAGCATTACTGTCACCTACTGACCGGGAGAGTAAAAAGGAGGGGGGGGGGGGGGCATTTACGTATTTGTTTTAGTAATAATAATAATCATCATCAACAAAGAAAATTCAAACTAAAGGTCTTACATGAACAAATTAATGTTATTTAAAGAATAAACACTTTAACATCTTTAATGCTTCTTCTTTAATGTCCAAAATCTGTTTTAAAACAGACTACAAAATGCGTTTCGCCATGCGTATGATACATGGCACCATGATGGGGGCCAAAAAGTGGATTGAAAGGCCATTGTACTCCAGAGGGAATAAGGGCTCCTTGAATCCTTTCATGATTCAGGGCCCTAAGGGTTTTCTACGGTTCTCTTGGGGCTCCCACAAAGTTTGTTCCTTTGTCGGATCTGATGTAGATTACTTGTCTGTAATGATCCACTGGCAAGACCCGGAAATTCTGCCACACAACACAGGATAAGCAGTAAAAGATGTTTTATTGAATCAAACTGAGGATGGTTGCTTGGGATGAAAAAAAAATGCTTGGAGGAGCTGCAGAGAGAGAGAGAGAAGAGCAGGTGAGGGACTGATTTCTTGAATGTTTCCAGAACCAGAGAGATGACAGAGCTGCTTAACTAACCTGCAGTGGAGATTGGCAGCCAGGAATTTCAGCAGGAGAGATGTCAGACGGCAGGGGTGGGGTGGGGTGGGAGTGTGTGTGTGTGTGTGTGTGTGGGGTGGGGGGGGGGGGGGCTCTGTGTGGGAAGTGGAGGGAGGAGAGCCAAGGCAAAAATGCTCACAGGGGTCGATATCCAGAATTCACTTGAAACACACAAGGCAGGCAAGAGGTCAAATGGAGGCAGAGATTTGAAGACTTGCAGTAGGATTAGGCAGGTCTCGGTGGTCAATATCCAGAAAACGGGTCAGGTATCGGTGAGGCAGAAAGGCAAACAGGATCCAGGAAGGGCAGAGCAAGAGGTGAGGTCAGGGGCATAATCTTGGTCGGAACAGAAGACTGGAACATGAACTTAGTCTTGGATAGATGGCTGGATATCTGTAGCAGAGAAGCACACAAGATAATCTGGCAGAGAGGACAGGGAGGTGGGGGATTTAAATAGTAAGGGGAGCAGGTGGAGATAAACAGGTCAGGATCCTGAGTGCAGGTCCCAGAGAAGAGCAGCATCAGTGTCCTCATGTGCTGATGAAGAATTGTAGAGCATTTATACAGTCATCTGTTCCTAAGGAGTTTACAACTTCTAAGTGTTCTGTTCTGGTTGCTTAGAGGACATCATCTTCCTTTATTTACATCAATAGGCTGAAAATAATCGATTCCAACATTTGAAAATAGTGGTAAATCAGGAGTGACTTTCTGGAAGGTCGGCCATTTTTTGGTCCATTGCTCGAGCGTTATGGCGTCTGCAAAACTTACAATGGGAAAGAATTCTTCTCACCATTGAGTTTCCATGAATGATCCAATACCTTCTCCTTGCAATGGCTAAGGTGTGATTGCATGACCTAACGTTTCATGAATGTGCCTCAGAATAAGCTTAGCAACGTGTTTGCAGTGGCATTGCTCCTTTGCTTAATCTTTCACCAACTTTAAGCAAGTGGTCATCCAATGTTGGATCCAGCTTGTACATTTAACTTTGTTTGCTGACTGATTTCCTTTCAGACAATGCTGCAAGTTCTTCCTTGAATTGTTGTTGCTGACAGCAACGTATGATTGCTATTTCAGCTTGCACCAAATCATCAAATGCCAAGATGCATTTCCTTGATATTACAATCGCAACTAATGTGCCCAAAACTCAGGCAAACATACACCCTTTTCCTTTTAAAACGATACTTTGCCTCCGTGCTTCTTATTCCTGAAAGTCTGACAGTTTTCATGTTTGTGCAGCAACAGCACAGCCTTTCTTGCGACCCATCCAATACGTGTTTATGCCTTTATAGTTGTAGCAAAGCTCCTCTTTAGTCCACCTGAATGCTGTTGCTTAAACTTGGATGGTCGAAAACAGCCTGTTTGATTTTGCGCATGTTCCATGTCTCCATAAATGGGATCAGTTCAAATTGTCACGTCTTTCCAGAAATGCCACCAAGTCCTTTAGCTGAGCTCTGCAGTTACGTTGCTCCATGATGTCATGAGCTTTAGTTCCCCAACCTTCTCTTAACTTGAATGGCAACTTTGAAACAATTATTTTTATACTTGATGGCATGTTCAGTTCCTCCACATAATCAAGTTCCTGCATTACGTTGCAACATCCACGTCAGTACAGAGCGTATGATCGAAGTTCTTTGGCTCCCTGTGATTTTATGGATTGTCATGCCAGCATCTTATCCATATTTGCAGCAGCAATCTTGTATTTACTTCCAAAATTTCCTTCAAAAGATGGTTCGCTGTTGTATAACCATTTTCAGGAGTCATGTGCTGGCAACTTCAAACCAATTCCCTTGGTTGTCCATCATTCCACTGTTGATAAGAGTGAAAACCTGTAAAACTGACCATGTAATAAACATTTTTGCAGCAGCATTTTTATATTGGGATGACCCCAAATTTTATTTAATCTACATCCAGTGATCACTTAGAAGTTTTAATAATAGTTATTGGATATATGCTAATGCAACAGTAAATAAGGATTTTTTTCCCTATAGATTTCCTTCTAGAGCTAAAGTTACAAAGTAATGCTCACAGCTGCTCATAATATAGTTTTCTATTTCTCCTTGGTAATAAGGCCAGAACAACTGGCCCTTTACCTTAATGATGTCATCCTGTCCACATCTTCCTTCATGGTGTTCTGGTGGAACAAAGGGTTTCCTGCTGTTTGATAACACAAACTTTAACATCTCATTTCCAGACGAGTGAGACTGTGGACTCATTTGTTGTATCTGAGGTTCTGGTGGTTTATTTCCTGCAGTTTGCCTGAACAGAATCACTGGTTCACAACACGATCGTTTTGGTTTTTGATCAAGTTAATATGAGTGTTAAAGAAATTGCCTGATTGGAATGAATGACTCAAAAGGTTGAGCAACTAAACATTAAAGGTTCCATCCTTTTTGTTGAGGACATTTCCATTAGATTTTTTGTTTCTCTTTCATATTCTGCTGAACCACAATTCAAAAGCAATGTCTGATTTTTTTTAGCGGACTGGCAGTATTTTCTACTGTTATTGTTTTTGTCAGCTTCACATTATTGTGGGATCATTGTGGGATTTTAATCCCAGTGTTTAACTTAAATATCTGTGGCTGTCCATGTACATGCATGCACAGAGAGAGTCATGTACAGTAAACCACCGTCACTCCCTCACTGTCAGGATGCGCTGGTGAGTGGAGCGGAGGTGAGGATCCAAATGCAGGGGAGAAAGCAGGCAGGCAGACAAACTGGACAACTGAAAGGGTTTTAATGAGTCACGCATGCAGGACATGGAAACAATGACTTGACACAGGACACCAAACAGACGGGTTTTAAAAACAGGAGGACCGGGAGCTAAGGTGATTGGGAAACAAGAGGCAGGTGGGAGTAATTAACGAGACACAGAGCTGAACTAAAAGGGGAGACAGGACAGGGTGTGACAGTACCCCCCCCCCCCCCCCCCCCCCCCCAAAGGGCGGATCCCAGACGCCCACAGGACCAAGGAGCAGGGTGGGAGGAGGGGGACCTGGAGGGAGGGCCCAGAAGAACCGAGGGACCGCCGGAGGGGCTGCAGGGATCAGCAGAGTCCGGGGGCCTGCGCCTGCATCAGATGAGAAGGTGACAGGCCTTTGGAGGCCGGCGGCTGCGGCAGATGAGGAGACGAGGACGGACCCTTGGGGCCTACGTCTGTGGCATAGGAGGAGACGAGGACGGACCCTTGGGGGGCTGCGTCTGTGGCATAGGAGGAGGCGAGGACGGACCCTTGGGGGCCTGCGTCTACGATAGAGGAGCTCTGCAGGTTGGGCCGGTGACAAAGTCTCTGCAGGCTGGGCCGGAGCGACCTTCAGAACCACCATCGGAACCGGAGACGGTGGAGACGTTGGACTGGAAGGAGCGTCGACCTCTGGAGTGCAGAGAGCATCCTCAGACGAGGCGTCGACTTCAGAGGAGCCGACTTGGGAGGCGGCGACATCAGACGGGCCGACTTGGGGGGAGGCGGCGACATCAGACGGGCCGACTTGGGGGGAGGCGGCGACATCAGACACGTCGGCTTGGCAGACGACTTCAGACACGTCGGCTTGGCAGACGACTTCAGACACGTCGGCTTGGCAGACGACTTCAGACACGTCGACTTGGCAGACGACTTCAGACACGCCGACTTGGGAGACGACTTCAGACACGTCGACTTGGCAGACGACTTCAGACACGCCGACTTGGGAGACGACTTCAGACACGCCGACTTGGGAGACGACTTCAGACACGCCGACTTGGGAGACGACTTCAGACACGCCGACTTTGGAGACGACTTCAGACACGCCGACTTGGGAGACGACTTCAGACACGTCGACTTCTGGCCCAGGGACGTTGACTTCCATCGGCTTCTGGTCCTCCGGCTTCTAGGCCGTGGTCTCCGAACCCCCGACTTCTGGGTGGGAACCGTCTGCTTCTGGGCCCGCACCGTATGCTTCTGGACCCCCGCTGGAACAGGCCTTAAGTGAACGAGTAGTGCTAGTGCTGAAGACAGGGAGCGCAGAGCGTCCAGTCAGAGCTGATTAGAATGGGCACTCTGTTGAAGCCGGACCAGGTCAGCCCGTTGACTGGCCAGTTCAGTCGGCTGGATTGTGGGTGTTGCTCCACCTCCAACAGATGACAGAGGAGCAGATCGGACCGGAGGCGGGACAGCTGGTCCGACTGGAGACGGGTCCAAGCGGCTGCGTCCAGCCGGAGCCGCAAACAGCTCGTCCAGCTGGAGCTCAGCGAGCAGGTGGTCCAGCTGGAGCTCAGCGAGCAGGTGGTCCAGATGGAACTCAGCGAGCAGGTGGTCCAGCTGGAGCTCAGCGAGCAGGTGGTCCAGCTGGAGCTCAGCGAGCAGGTGGTCCAGCTGGAACACAGCAAGCAGATCGTCCAGCTGGTGCTCGCGGAGTTCAGCGAGCAGATCATCCAGCTGGAGGTCATTGAGTTTGATGGTCTGACGAACCTGGGCTATCTCAGCTTGTAGACTGGCGAGCTCCGCCCACTGGGCTGCGAGCGCAGCTCCTCCACCTGCAGGCACCGATTCGGCCGGAGATGGAACCACTGGGCTGACCGGGGACGTGTCCAGACAACTACACCGAGCAGGGGCAGCAGCAAGGTTGCAGCTCCATCCAGGGACACAGGGCTGCGGTGGATTCCGGCGTCTTTCCCCACGCCGTGGACCAACTCCGGGGGAGCAGATAGCCAGCCTCGTGCCCTTGAAGCCGGAGCGATCCAGGAGCGTCTCCCCATCCAAACTCCCGTCCGGTTCCGGAAGAGCGGCGAGGAACGCCGAGGCAGAAGGTCGGGGACGCCGTCTGCGGCGAGACGGAACTGGAGCTGGAGAAGGAGAAGCCAGCTGGTGGGTCGGGGTAAGCCACCGGAGCAGGTACTCCCCGCTGGATCCTTTAATGGGTCGAGTCATTCTGTCAGGATGCGCTGGTGAGTGGAGCGGAGGTGAGGATCCAAATGCAGGGGAGAAAGCAGGCAGGCAGACAAACTGGACAACTGAAAGGGTTTTAATGAGTCTAACTGTGGAGTCTGAACTAAACGGGGAGACAGGACAAGGTGTGACACTCACAACCTGTAGAAAAAGAAAAACCTTGTGGCTATTTTTAGATACGCTCTGGGTTATTTTTAGGCTACAGCCAGTTCCTAGGTATTTTAATGGGAGGGATCTGAGCCAAATGAAAATAACTGAAATGATTTAAGGTGTCAGCTTAATCTATTTCTAGTGTGAAAACAGAGACTGTAGACCTTTTGTTGTGTTTTGTTTTTGTTTTTAGTGCAGTTAAAAGTCCTCATAAGTACCTTTTGTCAGATCTAGAGGCCAAACTGATTTCTCCATCATTCTCTTTTGATAAGGAACAAATGTAAAATGTCCTTGCACTGAGGAACAGAAGTGTTTGAACACCCTGCAATTTTGCAAGTTCTCCTAGAAATCATGGAGTGGTCTGAATTTCACATTGCATTCCCACTATGAGAGACATCATTAAAAAACATTCAGGAAATCACATTGTAAGATTTTTAAAGATTCTCTTTGTTTTGCACTGCTGTACATAAGGATTTGAACGCCATCAGAAAGATTTCTGGCTCTCAAAAGTTCACCTCTACTGCACTTATTAATCTAAATTAGTCTCACCTGTCTGAGCTTGTTAAAGACACCTGTCCACCCCATCTCCAGTGCACTTAACACAATCCAGCCTGATGTACTTTGCCAGAAACTCCAGAAGACACAGGTGGGGGCCTCAACTATCGCCTGGATTAAAGACTACCTGACAAACAGACTAGTTTGTGAGGCTGAAGAACTGCACATCAAACCAGGCGATCGGTAACATTGGAGCACCACAGGGGACTGTACTCTCACCATTCCTTTTCACCCTGTACACCTCAGACTTCCAGTACAAATCAGAGACCTGTCACCCACAGTAATACTCAGATGACTGCAGTTGTCGGGTGTATCAGAGATGGACAGGAAGCTGAGTACAGAGAGCTGGTGGAGCGCTTTGTGGCATGGTGCGGAAACAATCATCTGACCTTGAACGAGAACAAAACAAAGGAGATGATTTTAGACTTCAGAAGAAAAAGGGTGGAGTCAAACACTGTTTCCATCATGGGAGAAGAAGTGGAGGTGGTTGAGGAATACAAATACCTTGGAGTTCACCTGGACAACAGACTGGACTGGAGAAAGAACAGCGAAGCCGTTTACAAGAAGGGACACAGCAGACTGCACTTCTTGAGGACGCTTAGGTCCTTCAGTGTCTGTAGCAAGAAGCTGCAGATCTACAAGTCTGTTGTTGAGAGTGTAATCTCTCCAGCCATCGTCTGTTGGGCTAGTAGCATCAGAAGCAGGGACCTGAAAAGGCTCAACAGCCTAATAAAAAAGGCTGGTTCTGTTCTGGGGACGACTGTGGAACCACTGGAGGAGATAATGCAAAGAAGGATTCTCCAGAGAATCAAGAAAATGATGGACAACCCTGAGCATTCTCTTCACAAGACTGTCCGACAACAGAAGAGTGTCTTCAGTCAGAGGCTTCTTCAGTTTCGCTGCAACACTGATCGATACTGGAGATCCTTCCTGCCAACAGCCGTTGTAATATACAATAACTCTTTGATGACTTGATTATTATTATTCTGAGCTACTACAGCAATCAATTTCCCTCTGGGATTAATAAAGTATTTTTGAATTGAATTTGAATTGAATTGAATCAGCCCAGAACTACACGGGAGGAGCTGGTCAATGACACAAAGGGAACTGGGACCACAGTTTTATAGGTCCCTGTTGGTAGAACACTACACCGTCATGGTTTAAAAACATGTCTTGTACAGAAGGTTCCCCCGCTCACATGTGCAGCCCTGGCTGAAGTTTGTTGGTTGCAACCATCTGGATGATCCAGAGGAGGCATGGGGGAAAGTCATGTGCTCAGATGAGACCAGAATAGAATGTATTGGTCTCAACTCCGCTCGCCGTGTTTGGAGGAAAAGGATGAGTTGCATCTCAAGAACACCGTCCCTACTGTGGAGCATGGGGGTGGAGACATCATGCTTTGGGGGGACAGGAAGACTGCACTGTATTAACGGAGCCATGTGTTTTGAGCAACAACCTCCTTTCTTCAGTCAAAGCACTAGAGATGGTAAATGCAAACAACAGCTTCTGTACCAAATAGTAACACTGATTTTCTCAGATGGCCAAATCTTTATGTGCAGCAGTGCAAAAAATAAATTCTTAAAAAAATACTTCCATGTGATTTTGTATTTTTTAATGCAATTTCTTACAGTGGGGATGCATGTACGATGTAAATTTCAGACCCCTCCATGATTTCTGAGTGGGAAAACTTGTTCAAATGCTTATGCTCCTCGGTGTATATTAAAGTCCAACTATTCACTTTTGTTAATGAAATCATAACAATTAATAATAAAAATTAGCTTCATTATTTGCTATACCATAACTGTTCATCAACTCCTATATTTTTCAAACAGTTTCGGACATTTCATCATAACAGATGAAGCCTATTTCCTTCTAACCATCACTCACAAACAGACACTTAGATGTTGGTGTTAAGAACCAAGAGCTCACACCTAGAGGAGCTGACTCTCATCACAACCACCTCATCCCAAGATGTGAACCTCCGTCCTCAGTATGCATCAAAGGCTCAAAAACAAGCACAGAACTACAACCTTGAGGTTCCTAAACAAGTGTTTGCTCTATAACTACATCTGTTTAGATTCTGTCTATAAGCTCAACAACCAGGATCAGAGAGAAGAACCCTTGGTGGAGTGCAACCAGCTCAGGGATCTAGCTCAGCTTTATGTCTAGAGTGTAAATGCTTTTCTTGCTTTGGTTGTGTGGAGACTAAAAAGCTTCTAAAAGCCATACAGAATCCCATTTCAACATATGGGACAGGAGGAACCAAGTGATCCACAGATTCAGGAGGAAATCCTGCCCAACATATTTTTTTTTTTTCAGTTTTCACTCAGCTGCTCTTTTGTTATTGAGCTTGACAGATGACAGGAACTCCGTCCCGCCTCTGTGACCAGGTAGTGCTCCCTGGTTGGAGCGCACCTTCACACGACAACCGTCTCCATTCACCAGAGAGTAACAGGTTAGACCACAGCTTCATTCTTTAAGCTACGGCAGCAGAGCATTTGCTCCCACTCGCTGACTAGCTCTGGTTGCACCACAGCACAAAGGCCGAATTTCTCCCTCACCTCTGGACCAGTAGATGAGGACAACGTTCAAACTGAAGCTGTTCACATGGATATTGAAAACATGGTGCAAAACAGTGCCCTTCTAAAAGCCAGAGAAGGTAAGGGTGCTGCACATCAGTCTGACATGTAAATGGTTGTTGTTAAAGGAGTAAATTCACACTTGCTTTTATCTTTAACATTCATAGGCTTCTGCTGGACTTTTGTCAGACACTAAATGCTTCTATTCTAGACGATCTCTGGATCGTGATTTCCTATAAGAACAATGATACAGCGGATTTTTCTTTGGTGCACTTTTTTTTGTTGTTTTTGTAATTTGATGCATCCATTAAAAACTTTGAATTAAAAACCTGAGCAGTGATTACAAATGTTCTGAATGGGCTCAGCTCTGTGGTGATGTGAGGACACTGCATTAGTGCTGAGCTGGTAAACAAATTGTATAGCTGCTCTGAGACGTCACTGAAGTTGAAAGTAAGATGTAGAGAAATGTGGTTTCACCGGCTCAGCTGAACAGATCCCACAGCTATTAATAGTTCATTCACTGTAATGCACTCATTGTGTGTGTGTGTGTGTGTGTGTGTGTGTGTGTGTGTGTGTGTGTGTGTGTGTGTGTGTGTGTGTGTGTGTGTGTGTGTGTGTGTGTGTGTGTGTGTGTGTGTGTGTGTGTACTTGCTGCATGTTTCCTGACAGCCAGTGTTTCCTTTTCTCTGCTGCCTTCAGGCGGACGGCGTAAAGGCAGGAGTTGGAAATGGAGGGATATGCTTTGCTTTCCAAACATCAGTCAGTGCAAAGACTTGGCCTCGAGCATGGGTGTGTGTGTAAGAGTGTGTGTCCTGACTCAAACCACGTTCTGTTGGTGGTGTTTTTTCACATTGCATTTTATTTTCTTCCCATCAGAGCGGAACTACTACAGTCTGTGTGTGATACAGCCGATTGGCCAGGAGCTTTTTTGGTTGTTCTGTCAGAGTCGGCCCGAACTGAAAAACCACGTCCAGCTCCTGCATGACTTGGTAAAACTCTCAATTCTCTAAAATAACATTAAATGGTCTGAATTTAACACTCGGGCATAAAATGTTAACCCTTTAAACACTGGTTTTAGCCTTTTGGGAAATGGTTAAAGATGTGTTTCAGACACTTAATTAAAGCCTTTTCCAATTGCTCACACTCAGTTAAAATTTACTTCATGAACTATTTAACAAAAGTGCTGTATTTGGCTGGAAGCAGAGTTGTATTCGAGGATTTGGGACTAATTGCAGCATCATACAGAAACGGCTGATGCATCTATCTTTGCAGACTTCTCCTCCTCTTTGGTTTCTTTTAGAACTCCTTTGAGACGTTGTTTGATTCGGACAGGAAGGATTATGGGACTCGTATCATCAACAGATTCCTCAACAGGACGGTCTGACAGTCAGCTCTTACTGCAGATACAAACTTTGTCATAACACTGTTTTGGGTTTCCACAGTTTTAACAACTTCATCCGTGTTCCTGCAGTCTGTGCAGTGTGTGCTCGCCGTGGCAAACCATGAGCAAAGCTGCAGAGAGAGTCTAGAGCGTGGTCCCTGTGAAGATGTCTTCCACAGCTGTAAAGAGTAAGTTCTCAGGCCTGTCTGTTTTTTTTGGCAGCGTGCTTTAATTCCATAAACCATCAACAAACGCCTGTGTTCCTTTAGAGCCCTACACAATTACCTCAGTGGGGAGCCCTTCAGCCAGTACCAGGACAGCATGTACTTTGATCGCTTTCTCCAGTGGAAGATGCTGGAAAAGTCAGTGCTTGTGTTTTAATGTGTGTTAACACTTGAAAAATAATGGCCATACACACATTTCAACACATTTATGCTTTGTCAGGCAGCATTGTTTGCTCAGCATATACATCTCAAAAATGAGTTGAAAATAATTTAAGCATATTTTCTGTTGTTTTAAAGGCAGCCCATCACCAAACGCACTTTCAGACACTACAGGCTGCTGGGTAAAGGAGGGTTTGGGGAGGTAAGATCTTTCTTTCACGGGTGTCTTTAATGACTTTTAAATTAATTTTCATCTTCTAACAGCAGCGTTGATGAACCTAGAAAGTGCTCATACCCTTGACTTCCCGCTAGAGAGTGCTCCTACTGGTGACTCCACCTAGAGAGTGCTCATCTGATCTGATGAGACGATGGAACATTTCATCTCATCTGGTCTACAGCCACAAGCAGTGCACTACCAGCACTGTTTATAGAGGGAACAGTGTGCTGCTGACCTTGACTCAGGACGTTGTGGATCCGTAGGCAGGGTACTTTGAAGACCTTCTCAATCCCACCGACACATCTTCCAGTTGGGAAGTGGAGTCTGGGGACTTTGGGTTGGACTCTTCTATCTCTGAAGCTGAGGTCACTGAGGTGGTCAAAAAACTCTTCTGTGGCAAGGCCCCAGCCATGGATGAGATCTGCTCGGAGTTTCTTAAGGCTCTGGATGTTGTAGGTCTGTGTTGGCTGATGTGGCTCTGCAATGTCGTGTGGACATCAGGGGCAGTTCCACTGGATTGGCAGACCGTCCGATTGCAGATGACGTGATCCTGTTGGTTTCATCAGACAGTGATCTCCAACTGTCACTGGAGCAGTTTGCAGCTGAGTGTGAAGTAGCTGGAATGAGAATCAGCTCCTCTAAATCTGAGACCATGGTCTGGAGTCTGAAAAGGGTAGAATGGCTTCTTCAGGTCAGGGACGAGGTTCTGCCCCAAGTGGAGGAGTTTAAGTATCTCGAAGTCTTGGTCACAAGTAAGGGGAAGATGGTGCTGTATCTGCAGTGATGCGGGCGTTGTACCAGTCTGTTAGGATGAAGAGAGAGCTGAGTCAGAAGGCAAGTTCTCGATTCACTGTTTGAGCATCATAGTTTCCTACCCTCACCTATGGTCGCAAGATTTGGGTAGTGACCAAAAGAATGAGATTGCAGATACAAGCGGTCAAAAATGAGTTTTCTCTGCTGGCTGGCTGGCTGGATGGATGGATGGATGGATGGATGGATGGATGGATGGATGGATGGATTGTTAAATTAAAAAATACTCCTTACAAGTGGGGCAAAGAACTTTCTCCTCTGCAGTGACTATTACTTCTATCTGTTATCATGAGATGAGCAAGACATAACGTGGGCAGGTACAAACTGATCTTTGGGTAAAAATAATTTAAACGCAATTAAACACAACTTGTCACTACTTGTTCCTCGGTGAAACAACATTAGAAAAAATAAGGAAAGTTTCATCTTAACATCTTGTTTATTCTTATCTCACCTGTCACCTTACAATGATAGTGCAGAGATTATTTTCATGATACTTTGCAGGTGTGGGCTTGCCAGGTACGAGCCACGGGAATGATGTATGCCTGCAAGAAGCTCGAAAAGACACACGTGAAGGCACGGCGAGGAGAGTCCATGGCTCTGAATGAGAAGGAAATACTCGAAGAGATGAACAGTCGCTTTCTGGTGAGATAACAACATCTAAGCTCGAAAACTTTTGTAAAATTGTGACGTTTACCTTCACACATCATTCTGCATTCAAAACAGTTCTCAGAAATCAGCATGAGAAATGTGGGGCTCCTTATCTCAGAAGTAACACAGAATGGTAAAAATGGCTATTTGATATAGAGCCATCTATCCTAGAGGCAAGGCGGGTTAAGTGTCTAAGGACACAACGACAGTGTGTGTGTGTGTGGGGGGGGGGGGGGGGGGGGGGACCTGCAACCTTCAACCTTGTGATCATGAGGCAAACACTATATACCATCACTACACAATATTCATTAGGAAAAACCTCGTCAGCACTGTTGGTTGGGGCGGGGGGGGGGGGGGCAGTATCAAAGCCTGATGGGTTTGTTTGTGATTAATGTATTGATTTTTTATATGATATATACATTTGGATGTATTAAGTGTTATGTGTTATTATTTACTTAGATTTTTTTAAATAACATGAGGCAAAAAAAGTGGTGCTATGAACGCCCACGTTTTCTGGGAAATTGCGAGCTATGTTACCTGCAGAATCAGTAAAACACACGTTTCAAGATGCAAAATAATAATAATATTAATCGTTTTTTAAAAGGAGGGGGTGTTTATTGTCAAATAATAAGATTCTGAGAAAAGAGTGGTCCTAGAAATAAATCTAAATAATCATCTATTACTTTGTGATTCCAAGAGAGCATACATTTAGTTTTCTAATTCTATGTGTATCACACAAAGATTAAAGGACATCTTCTTAGTTTTCGGCTCACTATATGAGTTCCTTTAAAAATTCATACAACAAATTAAATCTGTCATCTACAAAGACAATAAATTCAAACAAATCTGTCAAACAAAAGTAAAATCTATTTTGGACCAATCATCAATCCTTGTGGAACTCCACAATTAAAACTAACTGGACAGACTCAATTACATATAAGACTGTTTAAACCCAGAGCAGAGGTGTTGTTCAATAATAGTAAAAAAAAAAAATTCCTCTGGTCTTTATTTAACTTTCTTATCATTTTTTCTTCCTAACTCACCATTAGGTTAATGCAGCAATAACAACTTTATTGTTGACTAAATAACATTTAGTGTTGACTCCAAGACTCAATAAAACCTTCTGTAAGCTGTCAGTGATGGAGCAGTGTGGAGCTGAGAAACATGAGACATGACTAATGATGACCAACAAAAAAACAAAATGGCAATCATCAAGAAAAAATCCATTCAACTTTGTGGATATTTACATCGAGATTGGCGCATTTATAAAGTGGGCATCCTACTAATCAATTTTTTTTTATTTAAAAACAATAAACTTTGGTCTTTACATTTAATACTGCATTGTGTATTTCATGTATTGCTGAGCAAGTAAAAGTAAAATGTATTGCAATTAATTTTTTTTCACTTTTTTTATTCAAAAAATCTTTTTTTCAGCTTGTAAAGCCTGTCATGTAGGTGAATTTGGCCCATTCCTCAAAATGTTGGACAGTTCCTAAAACAACTGAGATCTACTGAAGACATCCATTAGAGACCTCAAAGCTGTTTTACTAAATCCTGTCTTCATCTCATTTTACCTTTTAAAAACATTTTTTAATAAGCTCAAATAAGCTCAGATCCCCGCTCCCCACGGGGATGGGTCAAATGCGGAAATGCATTTCACCAGTGTGATGTTGACTAATGCGACTTTAACTATCACTTTACAACTCAAACCAGTCAGTCTTCCATTGTGGATTCATTGACTTTTTTCTCAGGTTTATTGTTCATGTTGCAGCACATGCATGAAAACCACCAACCAGGTCTGTTGTTTTTGTTTGAATAATGATGTCCTACTTTCTCTTCCCAGGTGAATCTTGCATACGCTTATCAGACCAAGAATTCGTTGTGTTTGGTTTTAACCATGATGAATGGAGGGGACCTAAAGTTTCACATACAACAAATGGAAAAGAAGGGTTTAGCTGAAGACAGAGTGCGTTTCTATGCTGCAGAGGTCTGCTGTGGTCTACTTCATCTCCACCAGAAGTCTATCCTCTACAGGTGAACGCCTTTCCCAACTGCATTCAGTCCAAAATCTGCTGCTTTTGGCATTCATATTTGATATGCTATGTTTGACCTCGCAGAGACATGAAACCTGAAAATATTCTTCTAGATGACAATGGTAGGTAAAAAAAACCTGTCCTAAAAATAACTTGCTGACAGATCAAATTCCAGCCAACGTTGAGGTGAAATTTTCACATATTTCACGTTGCTATTTTTAGCTTTAGTGGTTAGACAGACTGATGCGATTGCATAGGGCTTTGGGCGTCCTGCCAAGCAGTTGCTCATGCAGCCAACCAGATTATTTCCTCATCTGCGCCGTCTTTCTCAGGAGAAGGAAACGGTTGGGATGAGATTTTGACAGGCTTTTAAAACAAGGAACTCATGTGAGTAAGTGAAAAGTGTATGTGTGTGTGTCACACAAGTGAGGTGTCAACCAACGTGAAATATTTCTGAGCCTGTTTCTCCCTTCCTGTTGAGAATCCTTAGCATGCTTTTATTTACATATAGCTGGTTGGAGGGCTGTGAAAATGCACTCTAAAACAAGTCCTGCAGCTACAGGAGGGAGGGGAAGAGGAAAGACACAGAGCATTACAACATCTAAAGAAGTCACACGTAAAACCTGTTTGGTGGATTTGTTCTTGTTCCATCAAGGACACATCCGCATCTCTGACCTGGGCTTGGCCGTGAAGTTGTCTGATGGACGCCGGGCGAAAGGCCGGGTTGGCACGTTGTACTATATGGGTATGTAAATCATCTCAGGTGTTCAGTATGAAAGTGTGACAAAAGAAGTTCTTCCATTGTATTTTGTGAGACTTTAGGGGTGTTTATCCCTATTTGCTGTCTAAGTTTTCAGATGGCAGTTATGTAGAGTGGTCTGAAGATGGATCACAGGAACCGTAATTGGTGCAAAGTTACTCTTTTCTGTTGAAAAAGAGAAGGTGATACTTGAAATAAATTTTCTTCATGTTCACCTTCTGCAAAGAAACGTGCTTTGCGCAAAAAACAGCTTTACAGGCTGTCAGTGAGACGGAGCCTAATCAACTATTTAACAGATTATCAACAAGTTTCAGATGAGTGGTGTTGAGTTGTCCAGCAGCATCAGCCAGGACTTTCTTTTTAAGTGGATCCTGCTGGTGCACCAGAGCAGAGCCCTCTCAGAAAGGACAGCAGGCAGGTATGAGAGCATCTACATCATGGTGAGGAAAACACTAATGGAGGACGGCCTGATGTCAAGAAGGGCAGCAAAGAAGCTTTTCTCCAAGAAAATCATTGGAGACAAGCCATGATTCTGCTAAAGATTTGGGGATTGGACTGCTGTGAGCTGTAGTAAAGTCCTTTCCTCTGATTGATGACTTTTTTATTGTTTGGGTCATCTGAAAACAGGACAGCCCAGAGTAGACACGATGAACACCCCCGCCAGTCCTGTGTCCTGCCAATATCTAAACAACCTGACACCATTCATGTGTAGAGTTGTTTCTCAACCACAAGAATGGACTCACAGTTCATCCTCCGAATACAGCCAATAATAAAGAATGGTCCCTAAACATCCTCCCTGAGGGACTCCTCCAAACCATCCAAGAACACTTTGGTGATGAATAATGTCTTCTATCACATGTTGGATCACTGTACTGCATGGGTGAAGTCAGAATTAAGTAGTTTAAGGAACAAAATGTTGACATTTTGGGTCCATATCCAGGAAAACAAACTTTGATGAGCTCCAAGCACGGTATATGGGCAGACATCAGTTTGTATCTGTATCAAAAGCTGAGTCAGAGAAAGTTTGTTAACCAACAATGCCGTTTTGTTACTCAGCACCAACTTCATTTGAGTGTCAATCTAAATCTGAGAAGAGAAGAGAAGAGAAGAGAAGAGAAGAGAAGAGAAGAGAAGAGAAGAGAAGAGAAGAGAAGAGAAGAGAAGAGAAGAGAAGAGAAGAGAAGAGAAGATAATTTATTTTCCCACAGCTGGGACATTCAGGAATTAAGAATTGATGAAAGGGTTGTACTTATACTTTAGTAACCAGAGACAAATCTGGCAAAAACATCTTAAAACACTGAAACAGAAAATCGTATCAAAACCAGAACTTGAGTTGTTCTCTAAACCCTTGGTTCATGGATCTATAGAATGTAAAGTCAAAAGTTTAAAAGGTAAAAAAATGTTCTTTTTTTTGTGTTCACAGCTCCAGAGGTGATCAGTGACCAGAAATATGGCATGAGTGCAGACTGGTGGGGTCTGGGCTGTCTGATTTATGAAATGACTACAGGTCGATCTCCGTTCAGAGCCCCAAAAGAGCATCCTAATAACTCAGAGATGGAGAGGAGGATAACTTCAACAGATGAGGAGTACAGTATGAAGTTCAGCCATGAAGCAAAAAATCTCTGCACCAAGGTGAGTCTTTAACTGCCCAAAACCGAGTCGCTGTCTTCTTCTCAGTGCCGATCTGCTTTATTTAAAAAGTGCCTGGAAGTGTTTGGAGTCAAACAGCTGTCTTCTCATTGGTGGGTCACAAACATGTGTTCTTTATTGTAGTTGTTGACCAAAGACCCCAAACAAAGACTGGGCTGCCTGGTATCAGGAGAGAAAGAAGTGAAGTCCCATCCCTTCTTTCAGCAGATCAACTTCCGGATGCTGGAAGCAGGAGTGATCGAGGCTCCCTTTAAACCTGATGCAAGTACCTTAAAACTACGATCATCTGTGTTGCTGCAGAAGGCTTAAACCAGCTTTTTGTTTTGTGCACCAGTTGAAATTTCTAACTGTTTGCAGCAGAAAGAAAGGCTCAGTGATGCACCAGGCCACTGTTGGATTTCAAAACAATAAACTACTTTTTTGATAGTTTGTTAAAAGCAAACCCCGGGACTCAGGATATGTGTGGAGAACACCAACCTCTTGTGGGAAGGGCATCGGGCATCAGCTGGGGGAACTAAGAAAACAAACGCATGCAGTTGTGAGGAAACTAAACACCACAAAACACAAAAGAATAAGCATTAAAACAGAGCAAAGCCACATGATAATACACGCCAGCAGCCAGTACCCTGCATAACACCTGATTCCTCAGAGCTTAAGTAATCCAGCACAAGGTCCCGTCCTCTAGCATCGTTAAATTGCTGAGCCCTGGAGCCGAGTACTTCCTTCCACGCTCCTCCATGGCGCAGAACTTCTGGCCAACTTGCTTAGTCAGGAAGACCAGACGACACCAACCAGGACAAGACGAGACCAGGTGAAAACAGCTGCCAAACAAGCAGCAGGCTAAAACAGCACCTGCGCCCAATGCACCGTGACTCGATGTGTCTGAAAAAACACAACACAGCTGATCTGTAAAATCACACACCCACACACCCACATGCAAATGCACACACACACACACACACACACACACACACACACACCAGGCATCTTCCCGGAGGTTTTCTGTGCAGCTTACCAAGGAGAGCAGACCAGCAGGTAACAGGTGGAAACTGCGCAGCTCCAACACTCCTGACTGCAAAGAGCTAAAATGAAACACCCAGGGAACAACTGCACCCACCAGCTCGCAGGCAAAACACAGCACTTACGATCCCAATGGGTAGATCTCCTCACACTGCAGCTGGCACAGATACCGCAGTCCGTCTTAAACATATGAACTCTGCAGACCGTGATGGTAGAGGCAAGAGTCTGCTAAAAGACTTCAAATCCAAATATGTTAGACACTTTGAGTGTGACTTTTAATTCCACTTTCATTCACTGTCTTCAGCTTCACTTATGTCGTCACAAATAAGAAACATTCCTCCTTTGAATTCTAACAGGAAGCAAATGTTGCCAGTCAAAAATAATGACCTGCTTTTGCATTGTCCTTTTCTGAGGCAGAAGACTCCAAAGCACTTTACACTACAGTCAGTAACACACACATTAACACACAGTTGGTGATGAGCTACAGCGTAGCCACAGCTGCCTTGGGGCACACTGACCGAAGCGAGGCTGCTGTCGGCAATCAGCTCCACCGGCCCACCACCAGCAGCAGGCATGAAGGGTGAAGGGTCTTGCCTAACAACACAACTGATACAAATGATGCTTGGGTTCAAACCAGCCACCCACAGATTACAGGGCAAACTCTAAACCCTGAGCCACCATGTGACCATCATTTTGCTAAGTTAAGTTAGCAAGCTAAAAGGTGTCAGGGTTTGGGTTGCAATCGTTTTTCAGCACATTTCTTTTACTTGAAAGAGTAAAGGAACTCAACAAAACGATCCCCTTGTGTCTGTGTCCCAAACGTCAGTTTTAGATTCCAGGTATCACCAAAGCCTTAGCCTTGATCTGCAATTTAATCTGCATTGCACCAGAGCTTTCACGCTCTTTCTGTAGGTGATGGATCCACAGGTGGATGCAAAAGCTCATTTAAGCTGTCCACGTGTTCGCGTAAAGGCCATGTGTGCCATTACTTATTCAATTTAAGACAATATTTGAACAAACACTTTAGCCACCAAGTTTGGGTGCAAAATGATTGGTGAGTTATCTGATTAACAATTAGGGAAGTTCGGTGCATCTTCATCACCGTTTGTGCTGACTTAGTTCTAGGTGATGTCTCCATCTGGAGGTTTTCCACAAAGAATAAACACCAGATGAGACCCAGAACTCACTCATTTTATGTCCTATCTGGTGTTGGAGAAATCCCAAGGAGGAGCTAGATCTTGTCACTGGAAAGAGGGACATCTTGGTTAACCACTGGATCTGTAAATTCCATGAACTTTTATGTATGAATCACTCCAAAGTGTTCATCGGGGTTGAATGAGGACAGAGGATCATATTACAAATTACAGAAAGCTTTTGACAAATCTATACGGCCAAACAAACTGCTTTGCCTTAATTGTACCATTAATATCTCTTGGTTTCCTACATTTGTTAGAAAATCCTGAACTAGTACTTCTGAGGAAAACTTCTTTGCACAAGTTCTTTACAGCTTTAGTGGTAAAAACACACGTTTTACTTCCAGTTTGTTTCTGAAAATATAAAATATTATTATAGCATTTGTTGTTCCTGTAGCCCAGACTGGTGTATTGCCAAGATGTGCAGGACATTGATGAGTTTTTGCCGGTAAAGGGAGTAGTTCTGGACCAGACGGACAATGAATTCTACGCCACGTTCAGCACAGGAAGCAATCCCATACCATGGCAGAATGAGGTGATTTCCTTACCGGATCTCACTGATTATATATGAAGTAGGATCTAAGGATCTCACTGTGTCCCTGTGTCTTTGCTCAGCTCATAGAAACTAGATGTTTCGAGGAGCTTAATGTTTTTGGCCCCAACGGAACCCGAACTCAGGATCTGGAACAGATCCGAACTCCTGACACTCCCAGACGCAATCTCCTGCATCGATTTTTCCGCAAGCAGGTAAAAGCACAGTCTTAAAAATATTGTACGTGTTGTTTGCAACAGTGAACATGAACTTCCATCATTTCCTTTTGCAGCCACCATTAGATATGTCTGAGGGAAACAGACATAGTCTGTAATCAACAAGGGCAAGAGGAAGCCAGGACCAATTAGTCCTGCTCTCCGAGAACAACTCCAGAACTCAAACCATCCCATGTAGCAGCACTGCAGCTTTCTCTTTCAAAGCACTTCATGGTTTATGCATATTGGTGCTTTAGGTGTTCTTTCTCCTACAGCATGCAACAGTCACATTTCAGCTACAAGTGCTGGTCATGAAATTAGAATATCATCACAACGTTGATTTATTTCAGTAAGTCCATTATTTATTATATTCATTCATTTCACACAGACTGATACATTTCAATGTTTATTTCCTTATTTTTGATTATTATAACTGACAAGGAATGAAAATCTCAAATTCGTTATCTCAGAATATTAGAATGACAATTAAGACCAGTGCTAGAAAAGGAATTTTAGAAATGTTGGCCAACTGAAAGTATGAACATGTGCAGCACTCAGTATTTAGTCGGGGCTCTGTTGGTCTGGATTACTGCAGCAATGCAGCGTGGCATGGAGTCGATCAGTCTGTGTCACTGCTCAGGTGTTATGAGAGCCCATGTTGGTCTGATAGTGGCCTCCAGCTCTTCTGAATTGTTGGGTCTGGAGTACTGCATCTTCCTCTTCACAATACCTCATAGATTTGCTATGGGGTTAAGGTCAGGCCAGTTTGCTGACCAATCAAGAACAGGGATACTGTGGTCCTTAAACCAGGTACTGGCAGTGGCACTCTGTGCAGGTGCCAAGTCCTGCTGGAAAATGAAATCTGCATCTCCATAAAGTTCGTCAGTAGCAGGACGCATGAAGTGCTCTAAAACTTCCTGGCAGACAGCTGTGGTGACCTTTGACCTCAGATAACCCAATATACACCAGCAGATGACATGGCACCCCAAACCATCCCTGACTTTGTCTTTAGCTCAGGTGAGACACTTCTGATGCTGTCTCTTTCGAGAGTGGCTTGACACAAGGAATACGACAGTTGAAATTGTGTCTTGGTCCTTGAAGCACTGACTCTAGCTGCAGTCCACTCTTTGTGAATCTCCCCCACATTTTTGAATGGGTGTGGTTTCACAATCCTCTCCAGGATGTGGTTATTTTTTGAACCCAGCAAATTGCATCAATTTGCTGGGTTCCTTATATAGGAAACTTTTTTCTGATTGGCTTAATGAACTGGGGCCTCATTTATCAAGCTTGCTTACGCACAAAATGGGGGCGGAAAACTGCATAAGCAACTTTCCACACAAACTTTGGGATTTATGAAAGAAAATGTAGTGGAAAAATGTGCGCAACTTTAAGTTGACTAAGGACCTGGCTTACACACATGTTGGACATGGAGAGCACCTGCAGTGCTGCTGCTGAGAAGGATAAAATTATGAAATCCTGCAGCATTATCACTTGTACTGCTTCGTTTTCACACAGAACAAGACCCCCCACACGCACACACACGCATGCGCACACACACACACAGCCTGAAGTGCAGAATATGGAATGCAGAATATCAGCAGGGGACAGATTGAGACAGAATGTCATGCGTCTGTGACAGTGTGTGTGTCCTGTCACTGTGACCCGATTAATCATCCGCCCTGCCTACTTGGACAAGGGAGATCTCTGTTTAGCGTGACTTTCACCCGGGAGTCTGGGGATGAAATCCTTATCGGATCATTTTTTTGTATCCACCACAGAGCTCTCTGAAGAACTCAGCATTGATGGCTTCAGCAACGCTGTGCCACTCTGGATTTTCTCTTATTTGTTTTGAAAAAGCACTTCCTTTCATTTCTCCACCTCACCCACAAGTACCTCAATTTCTGCTTGTGAAATTGCGCTTCCTTGATCTGTGGTTGTGATCGAAATGCTGCAACAAGCCAGCTTATGTATATGCATGAGATCCACAAGGCACTTTGCATTGACTATTTATGGCAGAAAGGGGGTGTGGTGAGGGCGGGATGTGACTAAAAAGCAGTTGAGAAACTTTCTAGATAGTTTCTTATTTATGAAGCGGAGATTGCGTCCAGCTGTGCGTACTCCATGTTTGATAGATCACAAACCTACTTGGCGTAAGTATTTTTTATTTTTTATTTTTATTTTTTTGCTGAACTTAAGTACGGTTTTAGTAAGGATTCTACGCAATGTTTAATAAATGAGACCCCTGACCTGTATTGGAATGTTTACTATGTGAAGTGCCTTGAGACGACTGTTGTCGTGATTTTGCGCTACATAAATATACTTGAATCGAATTGAAAGGTTATCCTTACTGCTTGTACATTTTTTCTACCACATCTTGACCTTCCCTTCACCTCTCTATTAATGTGCTTGGACACAGAGCTCTGTGAACAGCCAGCCTCTTTAGCAATAATCTTTCGTGTCTTGCCCTTCTTGTGCAAGGTGTCAATGGTCGTCTTTTGGACAACTGTCAAGTCAGCAGTCTTCCCAATGATTGTGTAGTCTACAGAGCTAGACTGAGAGACAATTTAAAGGCTTTGCAGGTGTTTTGAGTTAATTGGCTGATTAAAATAGCCACATTTACATGCGCACATTTAATCAGATTGGGGAAATTTGGTGCATGTAAACGTGGCTAGTGTGGCACCAGGGGTCTTCAATATTGAACCTTTTAACAATATTCTCATATTCTGAGATGCTGAGTTTGGGATTCTCATTAGTTGACAGTTATAATCATTAAAATTAACAAAATAGATATTTGAAATATATCAGTCTGTGTGTAATGAACAGACCTAACATACAAGTTTTACTTTTTGAATTGAATTACTTAAATAAATCAACTTTGTCATGATATTCTGATTTTCTGACCAGCACCTGTACAGTACTGCATCAGCTTGAAAGGATGAAAAATGAACAATTTTTTCTTGTGGTTCCTTGTGACTTCTTTGTCTACTAGAAAATGGTAATAATGTGCATTTCTGAAACAAAAAGCTGACATAAATGTAGATAGAAAGTCTTCATATAGAACTACTGATCCTCTGGATTTTATCAGGTTTAGGAAAGAGCTGAAAATCTCTGGTCAGATCTAAAATGATCACAAAATAATTATGAGAAAATTATTGGCAAATTCTGACTTTGTACCATGTTTAACATCATAAATGTCTGCATTTATGTTAGCATGAGATGCCCAATTCAAAAAAACATAAAGCATCTTGAGTCCTTTTTTTATGTATCTATTGAAAATATGTAAATGCCATGTTTAGTTACAAAAATAAATGTAAAATGACCAGATGAAGGGTGTGTTTTGGAGTTAATGTATGAGTTAACAGTCATGTGACTTTTGAAAGAATGCCTCAAGTTTCTTTAGAAATTTGTAACATGCTTCTCAGTATTTTATTTCCTGTATCAGTGGTGTTCTGCCTTCAGATGTTTTAATATTTGTACTTGGCTATTATAGCTTATTTTTTGCAAGTGCCTCACTAGGCTGCAACTGTCAGCAGACAGATTTGCAAAAGCAATTCTTAAGACATACTTGAGGGGGGTCCCATTTCCTTCCAAGGCCCAGCGTCTTCTTCTGGTGTTGCTCTGAATTTATTCAAAAACGAGTGCTACTAAAGTTCTCTAAAATGAGTTGCAGAATCTTATCAGATGCTTCCAACTTGCCGCAATTGCTTCCTAATGTGTGCTGTGTGGATCTCCTAAACTTATTTCTGAGTGTGAGCCCAGCTAACCTAGGGAAAAGTTTAAGTATCTATGTTCGAACCCCCACCTATGGTCATGAGCTTTGGTAGTGACCGAAAAAATGACATTGCAGATACAAGTGGCCGAAATGAGTTTTCTCTGCAGGGTGTCTGGGCTCTCCCTTAGAGATAGGGTGAGAAGCTTGGTCATTCGGGAGGGGCTAAGAGTAGACCCGCTGCTCCTCCACATTGCGAGGAGCCAGTTGGTGGCTAGGGCATCTGGTAAGGATGCCTCCCTGGTGAGGTTTTCCTGGCATGTCCAACCGGGAGGAGACCTAAAGGAAGACCCAGGACATGTTGGAAGGACTATATCTCTCAACTGACCAGGGAATGGCTTGGGATTGGCTGGCCCAAATGGCTGCGGAGAGGGATGTCTGGGCCTTTCTGCTTAGGCTGCCGCCCCCCAGACCCGACCCCTAATAAGCAGAGGAAAACGGATGGGGGCCATTACTTTTGATACAAATCACAAGTCTATTCAGCTTTGTTCATTAAACACTTATTTATTTTTAACGAAGAGTATAAAACAGTAACTAACACAACAAATTAAATCAGAGAACGACTGCATTAAATGATAAAAGGTGTTTGTTTGGCTGGAACATGCAGATTTTAAACATTTCTTTTTGTCGCTTTAAATGTGTTAAATCAACAGCAATGTCTCTGCAGTCAAAGCACTAAAGGTCAGTTGTAGCTGGTGAACTTCAGAGAGGAACGTTTCTATTTGGTGCTCAGAACAGTTGTGGTATACATCCAGCCATTATCACCATGGCAGCCATTTTCAGTGTGGTCATGACCTTCTGTCTGTCAACATTAATATCAGAAAAGCTGAAAAGCTGCTGCTTTTCTTTGACCTACACGTCACAGCAGCAACAATTCAAGGGTGTTGCCAGAATATGGAACGATGTACAGACGCGAGGTTCAGAATTAAACCAGCTTTCATCCTTCCCACGGAGGGCTGCGTCGTCCATCCACTTCTGTCTCCACATGGTACAACATGTCAGCCAGCGTGTGTTCGATCACGGCCCCCCACCCCATGTCACTCATCTGTCAGGAGTCAAAAGGAGAGTGTTGACAGATCAGTGGTTAGAGGTTATGAGCTTGGTGAGGTCATGTTTATCTGAAAGGAGAGAAAGTCTCACCGGCTGGTACTTAACATCCTTTGGTGGGTATTTGAACTGTGGCCCAAAATTAACAGAAACCTGAAGGGAAAGGTGTAAACTTTAGTGACTGAATAAACCAAACGTGGCAGAGTGGCGTCAGCATGTGTACGAACCGTGCAGCCTTTGTACAGGGACACTGCAGGAAAGTAGAGGCCTTCAAACAACTTTTCATAAGCAACACCTTGGTTCACTCCATTCTTATAGAACACAATCTGAAAAACAGGATTTGTGAGTCAAGCAGCAAAAAGAAGCAGCTTCTCCAACTGGATTTAACCTGAAAACGTGTTCTGACCCTGCTGGAGCTCATTGGCTTCAAGCTTTTCTCCGCTTTGTCCACATAGTCCTTCTCCTCAAAGTACAGGTAGCTCTTGAACTTAATGAGTGCCTGGAAGAGATATATGAGATCTAAAGGTGATTAATGAAATAAAACATAACTAATACTCAGACCTAAGTGACAAACATGGGTTATAAACCCCTTCACGGTAGCTTTTTCTGTACTCCTCCCCTGTTGAAGATCTTTTTAGCCAGAGAAGTAGTGAGTGGTTAGTTTGGTGCAGGTGGGTGTCATACCTTGTCTTTGTATGTATCAGGTAGAGCCTTGGCTACGTCCGTCTCATCCGGCAGCTCTATGAAGAAGCCCAGCGTGTCCCCTTGTCCGTAGGCTGAGGAGTAATGCTTTCCTATCGATTGGTGAAAGCGAGTTCCTTTCTTACTGCGCCATGAGTAGCTGAACTTATCGTAGCCCAGAGGTGCCTGCAGGTTACCTGAAACACGGAAAGGTGAGTGACTTCTTAAAGAATCCTTTAAAACAACCAATTAAAGCTCTTCAACTGTGGAAAATCTTATCAATACTTTTGTTTAAACTTTTTTTATAAGGCACTCAGCCCCCCTGTGGCCAGAATACCACACTTGCAACTTCAGAGTATCCAGATTGCTTCCTAAAGTCACGTATCTTGAGTGGAGCACTAACGCTTTACAGCAATCCATGTTTACACCTCAGGACAGACGAGCTAAAGCGAGTTAGCATTTATCGTAACGTGTTTATCATGGTGGAGCCTCAGAAGAAACAAAGGAAACTTTTATCTTATGAAGCTAAAAAAATAAATAAATAAAAGTACATCCTGGCACAACAGAAACCAAACAAGAGTCAACATCTGGAGTTTTCTCAATCACGTGAGCTCAGAGACAAATAAGGACTCAAATTGGATTCAAACCTAATGATCATCTTATTGCTCTAGTAAGTTCAACTTTAATATGTCTTGTTTGCGCATTTCTAAATATATTTATCAGGTGGTGGCGATCACATCCCTTTCCATCCCCCTAAAACCCACTTAAGCCACATAAAAGCCACCGGGGAAACGCTCAGTCATTGTTGCTTTCTCGTCTCTATCCGATCATCGTAGCCTCATACACCATCAAATCCTCAGCACACCGCGCTGACCCTGGCTGTTGGCCGTAGGCTAGCCGCTCATAGCTTTTAGAGTAACTTGCCGGTCTGTGATCACCCAGCACTCTGAATCCATGTTTGGGTTTGCCTTTCCCTGTGGTCACAATTCCTCCTCTTGGGATCTTAGTCATATTATTTACCAGGAACTCCGTTAGTCAATAGTAAAGTGGCTAGCTGACATGCTAGTGCTGGAGTCTGCTTCCAGCACATTTCCTGCATGTTTTAGGTCATGAGCACAGCTGATTTGTTTTATTTAGTGATGAACTGCTCCTGTAGAAACCAGTGAAGGCTAAGGAGACATTTCAGCAGTTAGATCAAAGCGTTGAAAACACGAATGCACAGGAGGAGGAATTTCTGTTTCAGTTTTTCAACAATGAATTAATAAACTCTAGAGCAGTGGTCCTCAATAGGTGGCCCGCGGGCCCCCTCTTTGTGGCCCCCGAACCCTGCGCCAGTGCTGCTATAAAAGCAGAGAAAAGCTGCTACCGGACTTTGTCCAAAAACAAAGTCTGTTTTTTAAAGAGTGATTTCTCAGGAGCTTTGGTCAGAGGCCATTTGCTGTGGGGGTCATAATTACAAAAGGAGACAATATTTTAATGCAAGCCACACAGCATCAGCATCTTTTAATGAGTCTCTGTGTGAGCGTGAAGATCTACTGACCAAGTGGCTGAGACCAGCCAAGTCTGGCCGCGGTCTCAGGAGGCATGTCATCCACGGAAACCTCAAAGTACCAGGAACCTTTTCGCACGCCATGTGAGGCTCGGACCATGGAGTAGCCCTTCTCCCCCGTCACAGTAAGGCGGTCATCTGAGATCTTCAGCTGAGGTGCTACAGCACACCACGTAAGTCATGAGGTCATGAGTCAACACACGCCTTTAATGTAAAGCACCACATCTTCTTTAAAAGACGTCAGTGTACCTCTGTCGTGTAAAGCCAGCAGCACCTTCTCATAGAGACAAGCCCTGTACAGATCACCAGGAATGGGCTTTCCAGCCCAGCAGTCCAGCTCCAGCTTCTCTGGGTCTGGAGCGTGAGGATCTGGTTCTGCCAGGATGTAGCGATAGCCATCCTTATTGAACGGATGTTCCAGCGGGTAACCATGAGGAGGGAGCCGCTGGGCCGAGAACAGAGGGTCACTGCAGAGATAAAGAGGAGGTGTTCATTCAAGACATTCTGTTTACTCGCAGTGTTTGTGAAGCTGAATTAGGAAGAAAAATGTTTTTTACTACACAAACGGTTTTTATAAAAAATAAAATAACACCTTAATGACTAAACAAAATTGGTTAGAAAGACATCTCCAAGAAACAGGAATATGTTTCATGTTATAAATATGAGATTCTGTGTGAATTTTAAGTTTTATTTTAGAAAAACAAAGGGTGGTTTTCATGTGAAAAACTTAGATGTCCTGAGGGAACATGATCCAGTGCTGACTACTGGATCCACCCTACTGGTGGTACCTCCTGGTTCTTTTGGCTGCCCCTGCAGCTGTGCCCTCCTGTTGCTGCTGCTGTTTGCGTTTGGCTCCTCTCCCCTTTCCTGGGCCGGGGGCCAGAGCACCTTCAGTGGGACGAGACAAAGTAATCAACTAAAATCAGACACAGATACAGACACACAAGTCCCAGCTGCCAGGTTATTACAGCAAGAGAATCTCACAGCTTTCTAAAAACCTACGACCTGACGAATATTCAGTTTTATGACTATCGTGTAAATATTTACATTTGGAACACAGGACAAGTGGATCTCTTCTGCAAAGAAGATTCCCCATTTCCAGGAGATTTCCTATCAACCTCAACTGAACAACAACCAAGATCTTGCAGTATATCACAACACTGGTTAAACACTCGGAAAGTCGATCTTGGTTTTCCAGCTGGAATCTCAAGGCTCCACTTTAAAAATCTTTTGAGTTTTGTCCACTTTCACTAAGACAAAGTGCTCCAAAGCCAGTCAGCATCGGAACATCGTGAGATTATTGCATCTCATCCATCCGTTTATGCTATTAATAACCCAGTGGAGTTATTAAAGCAGGTCAGATAAAACCAGACCAGTGACCTAGTGGTAGTGTCCGCCCTGGGAAATCGGGGTTCGATTCCTGGTCGGGTCACACCAAAGACTTTAAAAATAGGACCTCCCTGCTTGACATGCAGCTTTAAGGGTTGGATTGGGGCTTAAACCATAAAACAGTTCCCGAGCACATCCACCGCTGCAGCTCACCGCTCCCCTCCGCGAGGAAGGGTCAAATGCAGAGATGAATTTCACTAGTGTGTGATGATGACTATGGGACTTTAACTTTAGTAAGTGTTCCAACTGAACTCATAAACTCAGTTTGAACCCCTGCTTATAAACAATGTTGACTAAGACAGCAGCTGGTGTTTATGGATCCTTCATGTATGCAACTCCTGTTCAGCACAGGGTTTAACAAATACTCATCTGAAACGAATAAATAGCTTTGACAAGCGAGTGCTGATTAGAATGGTGTTAATTGGAATAATGACGCTGTTTCTTTACATGAAGGCCCTTTGTAACACATCTTCCATAGGACTAATCTCAGAGTGATGTACCGCTTCATACCTGCCCACAGACAGATCTGTGGAGCCTTAAAGCTTCTTCACGTTCACTCTTACATCCCTGGTTAATGATTGAGGCTAAACACAGAATTCTGTTATGAAAGTGACCCTAGCTCATCCCATCTCCTATTAATGAACTGATTGGCTGTCTGAGCTACTCAGACTTTCATTTATTTATTTATTTTCTAACCCTAACATCTGTGATCGGTTTAAACAGCTCTCTCAGATTTCTGTTTGGCTGTACCATGCTAACTGGTGCAACAACTGTGTAACTGGGACAACTGGACCACACACACACTTCCCAGCAGCATCATCATGTAACACGTTTTCTAACATTTCTCTTTGAGTTTAATTGTTTTGAGTAGAATCTTTACATTCAAACCCAAAGCGAGCCAACTCCAGTAGCAGGTAGTGATGCATCAAAACAGATGAAGATTTCTGCAAAGCAATGCTTCCACAGAACCAGACCTATGTCTTATTACTGATAGAGCCGCTACAGCCTGCTACTGAACACACAGACAGACAGCAGAAGCAGGTTATTAGGTCAACATGGGGGCAGCAGGCACAAAAAGGCAGGAATTAGTTAGCAGGGCACAATCAGCCTCTTACAACACCTCCATGGTGCGATGCTGCCACATCATTTGGACCAAACATGAATAACCTTTAAGAGTCAGATATGGAGGTTTATTGATTTGTTTTTGTTTTTTATCTCACTTCCGGGGTAAATTCTGCCAGGCTTTCTAATAGGGCTGGGCAATAAATTGAAAATGTATCGTTAACGACATTTCTGACTCTAAACAATATATTTTTTCCAAAGTCAATAAGCTTGGTTATGAAAACATGGAAAGATGTGTGTAGGTTGGCAACATTCACGTCACTTTAAGAAGCTGTACCACCTCGAGTCACATGACAACGTGACTGAATGTAACGCTTGACAGCGCCATCTAGTGGACAACTTTTGCTTTTGCGCATACCTGTAGTTATCGTCTATCGTTATCGAGGTGAAATCCTCAATACACAATATATGATATTGATTTTAGGCCATATTGCCCAGCCCTACTTTCTAATAATGTGAGAATAATTTGACACTTGGAAAACAAAAAAAAGATTTAAAGGCTGAGAATGGAGAAAATCAGCCATGCTCTGGTTCCCCTGCAGCCAGCTGGTGTTATCATCGTTATCTAGACCATGTGATCATGAAGTTTATTTTTGCCAGAGGAAAGAGTGTGGCAGGTTAGCGTCAGGTGAAAACCAACAATGTCTCCCTGCTCCCATGCACACGGCACTTTGGGGAGCAGAGTGGAGATTCAGACCAGACAGCAGCGAGCTACAGATGTGGAAGGTATGTTAACCAATGGGGGGGGGGGGGGGGGGGGCACCGAACAGATGCAGAAAGCAGACAAAGAGGTTGCAACTGCACATGGATGAAGTTGCCCACAAGATGCTTATTGTGAATCAGTTAATGGTATATTTATTTTGTTTGTTTGTTTTTTGGAAGGGGAGGGGGTGACACATGATGTGTGATTGAGACCTCAGGGCCAACTTCTATCCAGAGGGTTACAAGACAAAACAACACACTCAGAAGCTTCAGGGGCCAAAATACAGGATATTCACCTGAGAAAGAAGATCCACCTGGAAAACAACGCACACAGTCACTATGGTAACACACACTTTACAGTAAGTCTATGTTTGGGGACTTTACAGAAGAAAATGTGTTTTTATAACCAGTCACCCAACATATTGGCCCCTAGTTAAGCTTTAATTCAAACTTTATTTTATTATGAAGTTTGACTTGGAGAAATAGTTTATGTCCAACATGTCTCAGGCTTCAATCTCCTAGATTTCACAGCCTTCGTGCCGCTCATCCCTTCCACATTTTAATGTTACAATTCAAAAATTGTAACATTAAAATGTTAAGATTGATCTCGTTCTTTGGCACAATATGAGAAGAATGTGGTCACTAACTTAGGGGTGAAAGTTCGGGGTTTCCCCCAGCGCTTTATAAGCCTGGCGGCCCGACAGGCTTTGCTTGGCGGGCCGCCAGGCTAAGCATCATGCCCCGCCCCCCTGCCCGACCCTACCGTGCCCGCTGACACGAACTACACAACGAAATTAGTAGGGATGCACCGATCAGGTTTTTTGCTGCCGATCACCGATACCGATATCAAAGAATGCTGATCACCGATACCGATCACGTGGATTGGCCAGAAATGTTCTACAACATTATAATGAGTGGTACAAACTACATAATCTGGGAATAAAGGAAATGTAACCTAATCTAAAATGGTCTGTATTAAGGTTGTCACGGTCCTCCTGAGCGCTGCCGTCTCCTCCTTTGGCCATTATTTCAGCTTTAGCTTCAAGAAAGTTTTGGTTGTAAACAACAAAGCGTGCATGTGCCGCCGGCAACTTCAACAGATGATACGGTGGCTGGTAAGGGTCACCACGCCTACACCGCAGCCACGGTAACCCACCGAGATAATATAGTTTTTTTTTAAAACAAGACGGTTATTATTATTGTCAACTTTTTTTTTTACCGGGGTTTACCGCTACACTGGTTACCGTGACAACCCTACCTGATCGGTCTGCTTTGATCTATTTTGAAAACTCGGATCAAAACCGATAGGGGCGCTATCGGCCGATTACGATCAAATGCCGATCCATCGGTGCATCCCTAGAAATTAGAGCCCTCCATCAGCTGATACTGGTGAGAAACAGCAGCGGAACGTGTGCAACCCCCCCACCCCCGCTCTCACTTAGGAGCGCTGCGGGACGAAGCTTAACTCATTTTCTGGGGGAAGCCCTGAAGTTGATACAGCCCTTAAATTGGATGCACAAATAAACACGCTTGTCTGGGCATCTGAGACGACTATCCAAGATGAAGCCTCTCTTGTCAAGAGCACATTTGGAAACAGTACTACATGCTTTTATCATGTCCCGCCTTGACTACACTACTGTGTTGTATGCTGGACTGACTCAGCTAGTCCAAAACTGTGCTGCTGGTTGGTTGGATAACAGCAACGTGACTCTACCACTGACGTGCAACATAAATGTTTTATCTCTACAAATAAAGCCTGGAGGAGTTCTGCTGTGTGATGGAGTTGCTAACGGCTAGCTTCTACTAGCCAAGATGTTCTCTGCTGTTTCCTGGACGCTAATCCAACAACAGCCTTCCCTGTCGTGAGTCAAGCTGGGTGAGTCCATGAATGAAGTGACAGCGTGATGTAGATCTGTCAGGATGTTCAAATCCTAGAGTTTCACCATCTATTTTCTATCAGAAGCTAATGCAGGAGACATGTGTAGGAGACTATTTTAATGGTCAGCCTGCATGAAAAACTCACAATGACTGATTATAATCAGAAATAATCAATAATAAATATTTTTTCAGTGTTCCATACCTTTAAAGAAGAATAATGATCAAGCAGTTACTGCCACCTACTGGCTAAAGGCTCCAGCCAATCCTGTACTTGTATAACAACAAGAATATTTTCTAATAAATCTTGTATTGCTAAAAAATAAAAATTCACCAAGTGGACGAAAACCAAGTGATGAAACAGAAGCTTTATGATGTTTGTTGGTTTTACTTGTGGCCAAAACAATCATCCTAAATATTAAATCTGTAACAGAACATTTTTTACTGATCTGAACATTAAACACAATACAAAGTTATCAATAAACACATTGACCCTGATTCATTTGACACTGTGGCCAGCTGTCACAGCTGTCAAATATCAGGTGAAATAGGTGGTCAGCAAAGTCTCTATGCCCAAAGAAAATCACCGAGCCTCGGCAGACGAGTGGCTTTTAGGTCTCTGGTCTTAGCTTTTGAATTCCTGACTGAAACATCTGAAGAATCAATGTCACACACCTGTCTACGGTTACAAATAGATGATTTGTAGCACATTAGTGAAAATAAAGGGGGGAGACATTTGTTCCATAACTTAAGGGTTATTATATGATGTTGCTGTTTTAACATGACTTGTGGCTGGTTTGTGTTCTCACCATTGAGCCCACCAGTTGTGGGCAGTCCAGTGGTCTGTCTCTGACTGTCATAAGAGGGTCCAATATTTCCAAGATCCTGCACAAAAACAGAAATTTGACTTCTAAGCAAAAATCAAAGTTCTGCAGCTCTAACAAAAAATGGTGAACCTTTAAACATCAAAGTGATAAGCACCTGGTCCAAAAGACCAAATTTTGGGTACTCCTCCTCAGGGTCTTTGCTGCCAGGATCAGGGTGTTCCTTCACAAGGAAAACATCTCGCTCTTTACTCTGGAAAAGAAATCAATGGAAAACTATATAAGTAAGTACAATAACGGATTCATTTGTTTGTGCTTGTTTCCACCAAACCAACTGTATAAATGGAGTCTTCCCACATAGACGGACCAACTCATTGTGAATAAAACAGACCTGATGTTTACACTAATATCTCACCATCGTCTTCACTATGTTGTTGGGCCAAGTGAGCTTTCCTGGTCTCTGACGAGTCGTCATGCACTCCCAGTATTTGTCAATAAATGGTATGATATCCTGCAAAAGAGGAGATATCTAGGCAAAAAGTATGGTACACATCACAGAAACCTTCTAATTCAGTAGATAACAAAGAAATAAAATGCTATATGAAAGTTTTAAATATTGTTTTCGTACTTTTATTTGGCAAATACCAAAATGTGTCATTGCTTTTAATTTTTTTTACAAAACTCCTAATTTTTCCTCTTAAAGCAGGATGAGTATTTTACGTGCCTGTGTACATCACTGTCACATGATGGATGTGGTTGTTTAATGGTTTTTGTGGCGCTGCTGGCCGTTATGATCAGCGTTTGTTCAGTGTTCTAGCGGGGGTTTGTGAGAACTCATAAAAACTCCTAAAAACACTTCTCACCTTTAGTTTACCTGCTTGGATTTGAGTAACACCTTTTAATATCTTGAGGATTTGTCATTTCCTGTATGAGGTTCCGAATGTGCCAAAAATGTGTCTATGTATTTATGTGCGTGTCTATGTATTTGTACGCACACTGCACTGCATTGCTGTAATGTTATGCCCTTTCTCAGTCTGCCGTTACTCTCTGTCGACACCTGCTGTTGTCTCTGACAGAGGGTAACGACAGACTAAGACGACAACATGTGACAACAAGGCTGGAGAACAAAATAAGGCTTATCAGATAAAAGCAACTCCTGAGTCCTGACAAGTTATAACAACAGACCAGACAACATCACGTGACAAACGCCCGAACATTAAAAGACGGGATCACGTGTCACAGGGTAACGACAAACAACAGCGCGTGTCGACAGAGAGTAACAACAGACTGAGACAACAGCACGTGACAACAGCACCAGACAACAGCACCAGACAACAGCACCAGACAACAGCACGTGACAACAGCACCAGACAACAGCACCAGACAACAGCACGTGACAACAGCACCAGACAACAGCACCAGACAACAGCACCAGACAACAGCACCAGACAACAGCACCAGACAACAGCACGTGACAACAGCACCAGACAACAGCACGTGACAACAGCACCAGACAACAGCACCAGACAACAGCACGAGACAACAGCACCAGACAACAGCATGTGACAACAGCACCAGACAACAGCACGAGACAACAGCACCAGACAACAGCACCAGACAACAGCACATGACAACAGCACCAGACAACAGCACGTGACAACAGCACCAGACAACAGCACCAGACAACAGCACGTGACAACAGCACCAGACAACAGCACGTGACAACAGCACCAGACAACAGCACGAGACAACAGCACCAGACAACAGCACCAGACAACAGCACGAGACAACAGCACATGACAACAGCACCAGACAACAGCACGTGACAACAGCACCAGACAACAGCACCAGACAACAGCACCAGACAACAGCACGTGACAACAGCACCAGACAACAGCACGTGACAACAGCACCAGACAACAGCACGTGACAACAGCACCAGACAACAGCACGTGACAACAGCACCAGACAACAGCACGTGACAACAGCACCAGACAACAGCACGTGACAACAGCACGTGACAACAGCACCAGACAACAGCACCAGACAACAGCACGTGACAACAGCACCAGACAACAGCACGTGACAACAGCACGAGACAACAGCACGTGACAACAGCACCAGACAACAGCACCAGACAACAGCACGTGACAACAGCACGAGACAACAGCACGAGACAACAGCACGTGACAACAGCAACAGACAACAGCACCAGACAACAGCACCAGACAACAGCACGAGACAACAGCACGTGACAACAGCACCAGACAACAGCACGAGACAACAGCACGTGACAACAGCACCAGACAACAGCACCAGACAACAGCACGAGACAACAGCACGTGACAACAGCACGAGACAACAGCACGAGACAACAGCACGTGACAACAACACCAGACAACAGCACCAGACAACAGCACCAGACAACAGCACGTGACAACAGCACGAGACAACAGCACCAGACAACAGCACGTGACAACAGCACGTGACAACAGCACCAGACAACAGCAACAGACAACAGCACCAGACAACAGCACCAGACAACAGCACAAGACAACAGCACAAGACAACAGCACAAGACAACAGCACCAGACAACAGCACCAGACAACAGCACCAGACAACAGCACGTGACAACAGCACCAGACAACAGCACCAGACAACAGCACGAGACAACAGCACCAGACAACAGCACCAGACAACAGCACCAGACAACAGCAACAGACAACAGCAACAGACAACAGCACGTGACAACAGCACGAGACAACAGCACGTGACAACAGCACGTGACAACAGCACCAGACAACAGCACGTGACAACAGCAACAGACAACAGCACGAGACAACAGCACGAGACAACAGCACGAGACAACAGCACGTGACAACAGCACCAGACAACAGCACCAGACAACAGCAACAGACAACAGCACGTGACAACAGCACGAGACAACAGCACGAGACAACAGCACGTGACAACAGCACGAGACAACAGCACGTGACAACAGCACGTGACAACAGCACGAGACAACAGCACGTGACAACAGCACCAGACAACAGCAACAGACAACAGCAACAGACAACAGCACGTAACAACAGCACGAGACAACAGCACGTGACAACAGCAACAGACAACAGCACGTGACAACAGCACCAGACAACAGCACGTGACAACAGCACGTGACAACAGCACCAGACAACAGCACCAGACAACAGCAACAGACAACAGCAACAGACAACAGCACGTGACAACAGCACGAGACAACAGCACGAGACAACAGCACGTGACAACAGCACCAGACAACAGCAACAGACAACAGCAACAGACAACAGCACGTAACAACAGCACGAGACAACAGCACGTGACAACAGCAACAGACAACAGCACGTGACAACAGCACCAGACAACAGCACGTGACAACAGCACGTGACAACAGCACCAGACAACAGCACGTGACAACAGCACCAGACAACAGCACGTGACAACAGCACGTGACAACAGCACCAGACAACAGCACCAGACAACAGCACGTGACAACAGCACGTGACAACAGCACGTGACAACAGCACGTGACAACAGCACGTGACAACAGCACGTGACAACAGCACCAGACAACAGCACCAGACAACAGCACCAGACAACAGCACGTGACAACAGCACGTGACAACAGCACCAGACAACAGCACGTGACAACAGCACCAGACAACAGCACCAGACAACAGCACCAGACAACAGCACGTGACAACAGCACGTGACAACAGCACCAGACAACAGCACGTGACAACAGCACGTGACAACAGCACCAGACAACAGCACCAGACAACAGCACCAGACAACAGCACGTGACAACAGCACCAGACAACAGCACGTGACAACAGCACCAGACAACAGCACGTGACAACAGCACGTGACAACAGCACCAGACAACAGCACCAGACAACAGCACCAGACAACAGCACGTGACAACAGCACGTGACAACAGCACCAGACAACAGCACGTGACAACAGCACCAGACAACAGCACCAGACAACAGCACCAGACAACAGCACGTGACAACAGCACCAGACAACAGCACGTGACAACAGCACCAGACAACAGAGAGTAACGACAAACTGAGACAATACATAGACACATTTTTGGCACATTCGGAACCTCATACTTTTTGGTATTGCCATTAATTATTGTTATTAAAACAATTATAAATCAAGTTGTAATGATTCAAAGAGTGAAATGTGAATTTTTCATATTTCTTTACAGTATTTCTTTCTAAATTATTGCATCAAAAGAAAAACATATATTTTAGTCAACTAAATTAAGACTAAAACAAATTGGATGGCTGAATCATGACTAAAATTAATACTAATTTAAAACTAATTTTAGTCAAAAGAATAAAACTAAATTCAAATTACTTATCAAAATTACCACTGAATATCAGAGAAGGAGAAACAGCCGGCTGCTACCACTTCAAGTCTAGGACAAACTACCAGAGTCCCAAAAAGAAAAACATCATTTGAAGTCATGGACAACAAAAGATGTTTAGAAAACAGCGACTGGTGTTTAGCGCTCTCTAGCTTCCTCTGGCAACGTGGGTTTCTGGTATGGTGATGATCCCTGAGGGGAGGGGTGAGTGTTCTGTGACCGCGTTTGTGTTCAAACGCTAGCTTGCTTGCAGATTTGAGGTTGCAACTTTAATACCTACATTTAGGAATGGACGATATGGAAACAAATCCCATCACAATATTACTTTTCATATTGGTCGGTATCAATATGTATCACAATATAAAACAACTACTTTTGTCCATCTTTAATGCTCCCTGGTAAAAGGGAGATTTAATGATATCAGAAGATTATTTTTTAAATTGAAGCTGAACATGTAAAACATTATATAACTGTTTTGGATTAATAAAGACGCTTTATTTTAAACTAGAATCTTCAAGCATTAGAGAACTCAAAACAGGCATCAAAATACATATTCTCTAAAGTTATCTGCATGTTAAATATACCTTTAAGAATAAGCAATAAAAAAGAAATAATGGACTAAAACAAAGTTGTGTATCACTAACATTTAAGAAGCTTTCAAAGATATAAATCTAAACCAAAAACAATAGACATCTATGCTCAGAAAGAAAACAAATTTCTAATTATTATATCCTGTAATATGTTGCTGTAGCTATTAGGGTTTGATTGGTTGCTGAAATCTGTGCATTCCTCCTCTGGGCGAGCGCTTTTCTGCGTCGCTATAAGTTCTGACAAAGTCAGGGAAAACCAAAACTACGTCCACACGACTGAACTGTTTGGTCCCATATTTTCAACAACATCATTTGATGTCCTCTGTCGTTTTACCCCATTTGGAGCTTTCCTTTTTTATATTTTTACCAGCCATGTCACCTCCAGCAGAGTGTGAAAGCTACGCAAACATTAGCCATTAGCAGCTGTCCACCTGACTGCTATGTGGCTCCATTCCAGCATGGAGCATAGCGCTGTTCATTTGCTCTTTATAAAAAGGTTCTATCGACTTGTTCTCATACGTCTCTTGAGAGAAGGTTATTACAAAATATATTTTGCCATCATTCTACCTCCCAGCCCTTCCTAAAGGCATAAAAGCGAGAATGCATAAATAGTCATAATACCCCCGAGACCGAGGTGACAAAAGTTAATGTCTGAGTAAATACTGATGCTGCCATTAAAGTAGCTATTTGTTTGATTTTTAAATATTCTGGAGCGGTTTTCTGAACTTTCCCTTCAAAATATTTATTCACCATTTAACTGGTAATCAAAATAGTTGCTATTAAAACCAATTGCACTAGACTGTATAAATTAATAGAGGCTCTATTGCCACATCTAGCTCCAACACAAAGAATCACAGCCACCTTGTCTTTGGAGAACATGGTCTTTGGGTGTTCTTCTTGTGCTCGGGACCGCCATGTGAGGTTTGCCAGAGCTGTGAGGCACATTTCCTTCAGGTCTGAAAAACAAATTATTGCAAAGGTAAACCTTTTAGGCACTAACAAACATTCAACAGCACTTAGGTTCCATCAGGCAACACAGACTTGCTTGCTTCCTGAGGAAGTACGTGTTGCCGCTGTGATGACAGATGTTGCAGTGGAACACATAGTTGGTCATAAAGGGGAGACAAGTCCTGCAAAAATGGAAGAGAACAGTTAATGGAAACCAGGATCAGTATGTTACAGCTGATATTTTACTGGACACTGTTGTTTATAAAAATAAAAATAAATACACGTACGCAGTTTCAATGCAAAATGTGTCAGCTGTGAACCACTTTGTACACAGAGCACACTGTAGCTCCACTTCGCCAAGCTGCCTCCCACTCTCCTCATCTCCAGATCCAGTAAGCGCATCAGCAGCTTCAGAGCCTTCACCAGCAGCCTCCTAAAACAAAAACAGTATTATATAACAGCAAGTACAATCTGCAACACAGATGTGGAGAAGAGGCATTGTAGAGGATGGAGATCAGATCACAGAATATAGCAATAGTCTAAAAGAAAATAGGGGTCCAGTACAGAACCTAATACTAATTTTTTTTTTTATTGCACTACTTTCTAAATCCTTCAGTTTTGATGAAGCCCTGATTTCAGGATTGTTTCTCCCATAAATTATGCATTTCTGGTCACTCATTTTATGTGATCAAAAATTGACGTTTTGCACTTGACATAAACAAAAATGTGCTTAAAGTGACAATGTGTATTTTGCCTGGTGATGGGAGGCAGTACATACCTAAATTATTGCAAGCACGTGGTATTTTTGTGTTCGAGTAAGACCTTACCAACAGATGGCCATTAGGGTCAAAAATCCCTGTGAGCACAACCTCCAGCAAAATTTCCAGAGATTATTGATAAAACATTGTCACCTTACCAGTGCTCAAGCCAAGCTCAACAAAGAAAGTAAAGCACATTCTGAGTGGCTGGATTACTGATTGACAGGTAAATAAGCCACTGGTACAGATGCTTTTGTTGCAAGACGGGTGTGTTCAGATATCCTGACTTCAACTAACACCTATTTATAGTACTTGTACATTTCACATTGATTCATCAATGTGATCATAAAAGATCGTTTAATATCCTTAAAACTTCTAGTAGTAAGTCATAAAAAAAGTTGATTATAAATAGTTCAATGTTACCATTCCGTCTTTGCCATTTGATGACTCAGTGTCCATGCTGGTGGGTAGGTCCCCAAAGGTGGAATCCCTGAAAGGCAATGGGGAGAACAGATGATAGGAGTACCTCATTTTACTCATATTTTTAATTAATTAATTTAAAATGGCTCTAAATTTCAAACAAGACCTAAATCATATGGTGGTTTTCCTGGGAGGTCGTGAGAGATTTCACACCCCACCGTTCCAAATCGCTCAAACTATCGAGCCAATTAAATGCTAACGTACTCAAAATGTCTTAGAATAAAAACCTAATCTCTATCACTGCTGAATCCAGCTATTCCGTCACAGATCGGATGTGATGTGCGCAAAAATCACACGATGGCTACATTTGTAATGTGCAAACTGAGCGTAACTATGAGAAACATGCAAACCTTACCTTACAAAGTTCAAAAGTTTGAAAGCGGACAAAGTATAATTATTGTGTGATAACTACTTATCACGGGGCTGCGTTATAAACTGACAAAGGCGGCTCAGCGACGGTAGTGTCAGAGGTAACGGTTAGCAACCCGGTGTGCTAATGTTGTGTGTCTGAGGAAAACGAACCAACTACTCAAGTCAGTTTTACACGGATAAACTGACTTATAGCGTGCAGCTTTGTATGAATCATGAATAATGTGCCAGAAGCAGACATACCCCGCTCCTGTCTCTAGTTCTGTCGCAGCAGTAGCGCCCGCCTCTACTTCTGACGCCATGTTTAGAAATCAATGAAAACAAAAAAATATCTACTATCGCGAGATTACAACTTCCGGTAACAAAAAAAAATACAGAAAAACAAACAGCGACACCACAGATTGATGAGAGAATTGTTCCTAACAGACGCCACGATTTTCTGAGCTCATTTCTTCTAAAATGATCACATCTTTTTAAATTTGCTTTATTGTGTCAACAATTTAGCAATGTTAAGGGAAGACTAACAAAATAGAATGCATTGAAATCATCTGTGTTCTCAGTCAACTAAACACCCAGAAACACCAGGGGCATCAAAAGAAATTAATGTAAATGAAATGAAACGGTGAGGTGCACTGTTGCCTCGCAAGCATGAAGGTCACAGAGTCTAATCCAGACAGCTGTCTTTCTGCATGGAGTTTTTTAATGCATGTGTGGGTTTTCATGAGGTTCTTCAGTTTCCAGACGTCAGATGAAATGGTGGCTCTCTGGCTGAGTGAGTGGGCGAGCAAGTGAGAGAGTAAATTACTTTAACTCTTTGATGCTTGGGAAATTAACTTTTAATCAAAAAGCTCAAATAAAAAGTGTAAAGAAAGAAAGGAATATCTTTTATGATAAAGGATCCACACTTGTATAGCGCCTTTCAGAGTCGGAGGACTCCAAAGCACTTTGCACTGCTGTGTATGATTCATCCATTCACCAACACACATTCACACACTGATGGTGAGGAACACTGTAGCCACAGCTGCCCTGGGCCAAGCTGAAGGAGGCGCCTATTGAGTGCCTCACAAGATAAAGAGCAGACGCTTCACAAGGACAGAAAAAAAATTTAATATAGAAAAAATGATTTAAAATACAGTTAAAATTAGAAAAAAATATGTGATTAAAAATGTAAAGAACGGGAAAGAGAAAATAAACAGCTGGATCCTGGGAAATGCAGAACTGGTAGACAGTGTTGGGAGTAACTGAATGCATCCATCCATCCATCCATCGTCTGAACCCGCTTGTCCACGCAGGGTCGCAGGGGGCTGGTGCCTATCTCCTGCGGTCAATGGGCAATCAGGCGGGGTACACTCTGGACAGAGTGCCAGTCCATCGCAGGGCAACACAGAGACACACATGACAAACAATCATGCACACACACAGGGACAATTTAGACAGACCAGTCAACATAACAGTCATGTTTTTGGACTGTGGGAGGAAGCTGGAGTACCCAGAGAGAACCCACACATGCACAGGGAGAACAAGCAGAAAGATCCCAGGCTGGGAAGCGAACCCAGGACCTTCTTGCTGCAAGGCAACCGCTCTAACCACTGCACAGCTGTAACAGAATACATGTATTTAGAATACAGTATTTGAAATAATAAAGATGAGTAACTGTATTCAGTTACAGTTACTATTTTTAAACATGGTATTTAGAATACAGTTACTTTCGTAATACCATTGGAATACTTGTGTGTTTTCCACTTTTCACTCGAAAGATGAATTAATTTCGGGCAACATGCATCTCTGTGTTATGCAGGCTATCTATCCCATAATGCCCCTAAACAATGTGCCTCTGTAACCATAGTAACACTATGGCTGAAAAGGCTACACCCCCGAGTAGTAACTTGGAGGTGGAGTGGGTGGAGCCACAACCGCAGCCAAATCAACCTACTAGCAGTAAAAGAAGAAAATGCATTCACTTCCTGGAAATTCAAGCAATCTTTCACTGTAAAAAAGGAGCTAGGTGCCTGAAATCTGATGGTGCGGTGCAATTTTTGTCTCCCAGCAAACAGCCTACTAGCTGAGTCCAAAGACAACATCTAATCTGAAGAATTGTTTTATTTTCCCAGTCAGTTCCTATTGTTTAGCATGAACATGTCCTCTGTTTTCCTGAGGGAGTAGCTACCAACACACATTGTGATGTTTAACAGACTTAAATGCTGATTTTTAGGGGAAGTATTCCTTGTATTCAGAATACAGTACCAGGATTAAGCAAAGTAACGGAATACGTTACAAAATACATTTTAAAGCAGGTATTCAGTATTCTGTAACTAAATACATTTACAAAGTATTCTCCCCAACACTGCTGGTAGATGTATATTTGTTCATTATAGGCATGAAAAGGCAGCTTTATTTATATACATTTCATACATTTAGGCACTTCATTATGTGTTAGTGCAACTATTTTGTTTATTTATTTATTTTAATTACATAGAGTACAACAATACTGGGTTTCAGTGTAATATGAGCCACTTGCAGCGCTTGGATTTTCCATCAAAGTCTTCACAAAGAATATTATCAAGGAAAGCATCCTGATGAAAGGGAAGGGGTCTTTAATTGATTTATTGAATATCAAAGTTTACATTTGATGTTTTATAGTCCAAACACCCCCTACCAGATTCTTACTCAACTCCCACTTCCTGTTTGAAAAATGCAACAAATGCTGTTGCCTAGCAGACCGAGAGGGTGGAGCCGCTAACAAATACACACACTTTATTGTGACATATATATGATATTGTGACATCATAATGTACCATCTGACATCATAGTGTACCTCTTAGCCAATAGCAATGGCAGATTTTAATTCAAATGCAGTGCTGAGTTTTTACCTTACGACCGTGCATCGCTGACAGTTTTAGGCAGAATATTTAAATTTTAACTAAGATGAACTAAAATGCCGAATTATTGACTACGCGTGGCTGCAGCACGATCAGACACTCAGTTTATCAGCAAAAAAATGTTGATTTGGAGTGACTTGCTCTTTAAAGAGGCAGCAAGACAAGCATGTCATTACTTTTTCACTGTGCTTTGTTATGTTTCGAAGGTTAGAACATAAAACCCTTGCCTTCTATACCTTCAAAAATCTTACTGATTTACAGGATGAGAAAAAAAGTGTATGCACTTTTTATTTTAAAAAACCTAACCAATTATATTTTTATTCTTCAATCAGTCATCACCATAATATATTTATTTTATGTTTTAAAAGCTTTATATTATTATTGGTGTTGCTGTTTTTAACGGGTGGCTGTATTCTTTGTTTTCCTATTATTATGTGAACATTCAACAGTAAAATGTTGTTTATTATTAAAACTAAACAAACATTTGTCTAAGGGATTATAGGTAAAGTCTTTGTCAACTTCTTTCTTTCCAGTTAAACCTTTGTGGCATGTTGTGAGTTTTCAGCCATTAATGTTACAATGAAAATAAAAATAATTTCAAAAATACTTTCTATTTTTCCAAAAGATTTCTTACAAAATATTTGAAAAGCAGCTTTTTTCTGGCAAATGTTCAGATGTTATTCTGATGTAGTTGATTTTGGTGGTCAATACAGTAAAAATGAGTGAATTTACATAATTATACCATCAAGCACCTTACATTCAAATGCACATGTTGCTTTTTGTCCCTAACTTCCCTTCCACTGCTGATGTTCTCTCTAAAAGAAGCCCTCAAACGAAGCTTTTGTGCCTGTAAGGCCACCCCACAGGCTTGAGTTATTTAGACATTTCTGAAGTTGTTCCATCACCAGTAAAAACACATCCAACACAAAGGAAAGTGTGCCAGCAGGCATCACAAAAAGGAGCAGAAGAATGCTGAAAAGCTCCCTGGGACTTGCAGTAAGTGTCTTTAACGGATTGTCAGCGAGATAATGGTCGTAAGTTCTCCTCCCCTTTCCTGTTCCAGCAGAGACACATCTGTGCCATCAGGAGGAAGTTGTAGGAAGCTCGTGTCAAGTTTACAACCTGTTGCACATAAGCACACATGAATTCAGCCAACATTCAAGTTTCTGTGTAAATGTTACCACTGTTATCCATGGCTTCCCCAAGGGCCTCAGTTCTGAGAAATAGCTCTTATGTCTTTCAGAATTAATGAGCTAACAGTCTGAGTGCAGCCTGTGTGTTGGTGCCATCTTAAAATAACCATAGACCTCCAGAATTTTATTCAGCATCAGTTTATGAACCCGTAGACTGCAGTCAATTTGAAATATTGTGTTTATTTTTTCTCATATAGTTGTCTGTAGAAATCTCCACCAGACTTTACTAAATAATGTGAATTTGTTGTCAGTGTAAATGTTTATGAAATCATTTTTTTCTTGTAAATATGCAAAATACATCTGATATTGAAGTTTTAAGATGGCAACAATATTGTGACAGCTTTCTGAAAGTGCAGAGGAGTACGGGACAGTAAGGAATGCCAGGATTTTTTTTCTCAGGCCCACTCAAAAAAATCTGTTAAAATTGGCTGAACTCCTGAATATTAAAGCAACTTTGGGCTGCTTGGGAGTTTATTTTATTTTATTTTTTTGGCTAAATTTAGAATTGAAAAGATCATCTCTTTGACTGTGGTGTAGGTTTACATTTTAACAGCATGCAGGTAGCTTTGTTAGTGGTCTCCAGTCTAAAGGGACTAGCAAAAGCAAGAATGTTTACATGGAACGCAGGTGGGATGCTGAAGACTCGTCCCAGGACTTTCCACTGACTGAAGCAGTCTGATGCCATTCTACTGTGTTTTATTCATGTTTTTGTTCTGTGCTTTTGAAGTTTCTGACTTTATTCTACTGTTTGTCTTTTTTATGTCGTGTCTCGGGTTACAGGGAGATTCATAGTAGACCATAAGCTTTTTAGAACACAATGTCTGAACGCTTTAAACTGGAAATGTTCTCAGTTAATGATTTCTTCCCTCCACCATCTCCCCTCAGAGTGTATTATGTCCTCATTGTCCTGAGAGACAAAGCCCTGGGTCAGAGAAGATCAAGCCTACCGTTGACATCTGCTAATTTGTCCTGATGGGCTGTCCCCTCCTGTCCCTTCAATACCAGTCCCCCTGTTGGTGTCCGACAGCTGCCACTTTCAGGAATGTTTCCACCCACACCTCCAGCGACCCTCCTCCCTGCTGGGGTCTGTTTTTACCCAGCAGCCCCTCTGGGTATTGGAACGCCATCAGCAGTAATGTGGGCTTAAATAGGACCATTACATGGAGCTGTAACATTAATGATGCCATTGGATGCAGAAGGAGCCAAGTTTAAAAGACTTTAGCCTGAGGAGAAACACAAAGGAGCGATGGTTATCCTTTTACTAAATAGTCCTGTGGATGTCTCTGAAAAGCAAAGTTTCAGCCTTTGAGACTTTTAAATCCTGTTAAATAATAACTGGCACCAAATGAGTTTGTAGATCTTTTAAATATGTTGAAATGGCTTCATTTCCTGCTTTTGTAATCCATTTAAAAGTTCTAAGTACCCTCATTCATCACTTTCAGAAACATGTTCTTTTGTTTGTGCCATTTAAAGCTTTTATAGGAAAAAGTAGATTAAAAAAACGTTAACGACTTTATAAAAACATTTCTTTCCTTAGATGGTTCTGAGTAACAAATATCACAACCCTAGGTTTTACTGTATTTAATATACAAAACCAAAAACTGTTTCAGTTATTTTCACTGAGAAATGGATTGTTCACATAAATAAATGGCCTGTAATTGATTTAGCGCCTTCTAGAGTTCTAGAACCCCCAAGGCGCTTTACAAAACAATCTGTTATTCACCCATTCACCCACGCATTCATACCCTGGTGGTGAAAAGCTACAACGTAGCCACAGCTACCCTGGGGTTCACTGATAGTTGTGAGACTGGCTCCACCAGTCCTCCTGACCACCATCAGCAGGCAAGGCAGGTTAAGTGTCTAAGGACACAACATGGGGGTGGGGGGGGGTTGAACCTGCAACCTTCAACCTTATGATTATGAGGCAGACACTATATACCATAATTACACAATAAACAATTTGTTTATTCATTAAGAAAAACCTCGTCAGCACTGTTGGTTTGGGGGGGGTACGATGTGATATATACATTTGGATGTATTAAGTGTTATGTGTTATTATTTACTTAAATTTTTTAAAATAAAAGAGGCAAAAAATAAGTGGTGCTATGAACCCCCACATGTTTTCTGGGAAATTGTGAGCTATGTTACCTGCAGAGTTAGTAAAAAACTTGTTTCAAGATGCAAAATGATAATAATATTTTTTTAAAAGGAGGGGGTGTTTATTGTCAAATAATAAGATTCTGAGAAAAGTGGTCCTAGAAATAAATCTAAATAATCATCTATTACTTTTTGATTCCAAGAGAGCATACATTTAGTTTTCTATATGTGTATCACACAAAGATTAAAGGACATCTTCTTATTTTTCGGCTCACTATATGAGTTCCTTTAAAAATTCATACAACAAATTAAATCTGTCATCTACAAAGACAATAAATTCAAACAAATCTGTCAAACAAAAGTAAAATCTATTTTGGACCAATCATCAATCCTTGTGGAACTCCACAATTAAAACCGACACATTCCCACACTGATGACGATGAACTGCGATGTAGCCACAGCTGCTCTGGGGCGCACTGACAGAGGCGAGTCTGCCGAGCACTGGCGCCACTGGTCTCTCCGACCACCAACAGCAGGCAAGGTGGGTGAAGTGTCTTGTCCAAGGACACAACGACAGCGACAGACTGAGCAGGGGCTCGAACCTGCAACCTTGTGATTACGGGGCGAGCACATAACTCCTGTGCCCCCGTCACCCAATAACTCTGTGATTCCATCTAAACCAGAGGTTTGCAACCTATGTCGCTGGAGCCATAAGTGGCTCTTTGGACCTTCCACATTTGGGAAGCCAGGCTTTCTAACTTTGGGAAGATATGTAAAAAAAGGTGAGTCATGTTTTTAATAAATGACCTGTTTATGTTTATTCATTTAGCAGACGCTTTTATCCAAAGCGACTTACAATTTATAACCTACAGGGCATGTTGTGATCTGTGGGGGAAACCGGAGTACCCGGAGGAAACCCACGCATGCATGGGGAGAACACGCAACTCCATGCAGAAAGGCCGCAGCCGAGCCGAGTTTCGAACCTGCAACCTTCGTGCTGCGAGGCAACAGTGACCTGTATTTGTGTAGCGCCTGCTCTACAACTCCCCAAGGCACTTCACAACACAATCAGTCATTAACACATTCACACGCTGGTGGTGATGAGCTATATATATAACAAATCATCTATATATATAACAAATCATATATAACAACCCTCAGTTAGGCTGTCCCCCTCTCTGCCAGTCTTTAAGAATCACCTAAAAACACACCTCCTCCGCTTGGCGTTTCCAGAACATGTTTGATTTTGGCCCTCTTTTATGTTGAATTTATTTCACAGTTTTCATTGGTTCACTCAATCCATCGACTCAATCCAAATGTGTTTCACACATTTTTCCTGTACCAGAATGTTTCATCTATCTTGTAATTTCTATCTTGTAATTTCTATTTTGTAATTTGTATTTTGTAATTTGAATTGCTTTTATTGTTGATTTATTCAATATATTTACCTACAACTGTACAATGTTCAGCGCTTTGGGCTTCCTGACAGGGTTGCGGAAGGCGCTTTATAAATAAAACTTTGATTGATTGATTGATTGATTGAACAAATGCAGGTTTTAGAGGCTTCATAGTTTTTCTAAGGATTTGACTGAATTTCAATAGCAAATAACACTAAAAGTACATGTAATTTTTCTAAATAGGTGTTTTTGTTTTAAATTATTTTCTTTAAACATCCATATCCCACAGAAAACAACATACCCATGCTCAATTTGAAAAGTTACAATTTTTACTTTAAAACATAATAACAGAATTGTGGCTTTTTATATTTATAAAAGAGGGGGAAAAGATTTCTGACTCAAAAAAAAAAGTCAGAATTGTGGCTGTTTTCCCTCAGATTTCATATTATTCTCAGAAAACAGAACACAAGTTTGTTTCTGTGGCCCTAATATTTTTCGCAGATAATTTCTGAAAATGATAAATTTTCTATTTTCAAACTATCCTGTAACAGTGGCTCTAAATACGATTCATTCCGGGGGACTGAGGGGGAGAAACGGCTCTGGATAAAAGGTTGCAGACATCTAAACACTCGCTCACTGAAAAATAAGCTTAAAAAGAGGCCGATACCTCCTGTCCACAGTTTTTTTCTTCCTTTTGCTCGTTTCTCATTTTTTGCTGTATTTACTAACCAGCTCTTTAAAAATCAGCTGAAACCTGAAATCCGTTCATAGACCCTCCTGATGAACCTCAGAGAGCACAGGATAAATGATTGAAAGGCTGGATTCACACACTCAGGCCTGTTTCACTGTAGCCTTGAACTAGTTGTGAGATGGGCTGCATTCCATTTCAAGGAAGTTCTGCTTGTATTTTGTATTCTTTTTTTTTTTTGCAGAACAACCTCCGTGTGAGCTGCAGGGGAGTGTCATGATTGCAGGAAGCTTCCTGACCCACATGAAAGAATAACAGGCAGGAGGTGAGAAATAATAAGGATTTATTAAATGGAAAAGTAATAAAGTGAGGACGCAGCTCCAAATGGGTGCTGGGAAAACAAACGGGAACTAAGGGCGCAACTTCAACGAAGTGGGAACCAGGCCGGGGTCTAAAAATAGAAAACACACGGAGGTCAAAACCAGGAACGAGAGAACCAGATGATAACAGAGGGAAGGGGAATCTTACTGAGATGGAACTGAGGATGGATGAGAGGAGAGGATAGGTCAGGTCTGGGGGATGTGGCTGACGGGTATCCAGGGCAGGTGGACGGCGGAGAGCATGTGGCATGGGGAGATGAGTGACAATGTAGATATACACACTCCAGGGAAGCAGAAAACTCAGGCAGAGATCCGGTGGGTGATCTGGAGGCAGGACAGGCAGTTTAAAGCAGGACAAGAATGCAGAATTTTACGAGAGTTCGGGACGAGGCTGGAAGCTACCCAGGCGAGAGCATCAATCGGTGCTGGAGTGTGAACACGCCACTCCTTAAAGAGCAAGTCACCCCCAAATCAACTTTTTTTTGCTGATAAACTATATAAACGAGTGTCTAATCGTGCTGCGGACACGTGTGGTCAATAATTTGGCACTTCAGTGCATCTTAGCTAAAATTTAAATATTCTGACTGTCAGTGTTGCGCCGTCGTCAGGGAAACATTCTGCACTGTATCTGAATTTAAATCTGCCACCGCTATTGGCTAAAAGGTATGCTATGATGTTAGCTGGTACATTATGATGTCACAATGCCATTGTGAGCCTGTGTGTGTGTGTATTTGTTAGCGGCTTCACCCTCTCGGTCTGCCAGGCAACAGCATTTGTTGCATTTTTCAAGCATGAAGTGGGAGTGGAGTTAGTAAATTGTAGGGGGTGACTTGCTCTTTAAATCCCCTGGCCTTGCTGATGGGAAATCAGCTGCAGCTGAGGCTCTCCGACACGCCCACCTGCAAAGAGACTCAGAGGGAAAAAACAGCAGAATCATGACAGGGAGTTGAATGCAGCCCTGGTTAACAAACTGTTTCTTATAAACAATGTTTATGGGGAAACAGAGCTGCCAGATGTCATACATATCTCGTCACCCAACTTTTAGTGTGCGTCAGCGTCTGAATTTCAGAGTTAAAATGTGTCAACTTTTTTGTGGTAAATCTCTTACATTAGCCCAGGAAGCAAAAAATAAAAATAATAAAAAAATCTATCCCCCATCAGAGTGGATGAAGGAGGATCTCCCCGGTTGGTGTCGAGGCTTTGGTTTACTGAAAACCTCTGGTCCATAAGACCACTGACTAAACGTTCACAATGACTGATCAGATGTCTAACAACGCTCATAAAGTTGTCCGCAGGGTCCTTTCAGCAGTGAGCTCAAAGGATGCACAAGAAAAAAGCTCCAACTTTCTCTTTCACAGTCTATAAATTAACATCACAAGCAGCATTCACGCATCCTACCAGCGTCAAGTCTCTCAGTCACTAATCAGGACATGATGAACCACAACAAGTGACACGAGGGGAGAAGAAAGGGGGCACATTTTGGACAGATGCCGAGCAATAAATTACAGACTTGGACCCCCCTCACTCTCTCATCAGGGCACATTTACATTCTTAAGGGCCCCGTTTGGGGGCCCTGCTGGGCCTGAGTGTGTCTGCACCTCTGCCCCGTTGAGTAAAATGTAAATTTAAGAAACGATGCCCATGCAGGCTCATATATAAACCCGGGGGTGCCCAGGTTCTGATTCTGAGCCAGAATCCACAACCTGCAGACATGCAGCCAGCTGCAGCCAAAGTCACACAAACCCACACCACACAGTTTTCTGTGCAGGACATCCTGGACCCGACCAAGTTCACAGGGAAACCGGTTGCAGGTGAGTGTCCAGCCCAGCAGGAAGCATTCTGAAAGGTTCTGGTAGATTCTTATTTGATGTTCTGTTTCAGGGCCTCACCAGGTGAAACCTGGAGTGGTTCTGGTACCAGAGACTGGGGAATGCTGCAGTCCAACAAAGAGTCCCAGCTCAGAAGAGAGAAACCGCCGGATCCGAACGGCCTTTACACCTGAGCAGCTGCGGGTTCTGGAGCACAGCTTCCAGAGGAGCCGCTATCTGTCAGTTCTAGAGCGCCACACCATCGCCTTGGCCCTACGCTTGTCCGAGACCCAGGTCAAGATCTGGTTCCAGAACAGGCGCACCAAGTGGAAGAAGGACAGACTGGGAAGGGAGGCTCAGGTGGAGCAGCAGGGCTTCACGCCAGCGCTCTGCTCACAGGCTGCAGTCTTCTACAGCCCTCTGGTCTGCCAGCAGCGCTCTCCGCTCCAAATGTTCACTTCACTGCCACATGTGCCTTACTGTCGGTATGATGCGTAAATGCTCACAGATGCACCGGAACCAAAACCTTCCAATGATTCTGCAGAAGCCCACAGATTCCTACAGGACCAGGACACGTGAGAGGCAGAAGTCTTCAACAGAAGTCCAGGCGCCTTTTGACTTTTTTTACCCTGATAATGAAAATATAAAATAACAAAAGGGACACATTTTAAACAGTAAGACATGTTCAGTGTTTTCTAACTTATTTTAACAAATATTTAGGTTATTTAGTATGTTTCTTACCATAAAATCTTGTAGTTTTCCTAGACATATTTAAAGAGAAATTTTGATGTTTAAAATGTGTGAAAGTTTTATGACTCACCTGTAGAAAATATATTTTTAATGTCATAATTGAAATGTAAATATCCATATTTCACCAAGAGACATGTTTTAGCCAGAATGATCAGTTTGATATTTGCTGTGATGGATATGAAAAGCAGGCAGAAACAAAACAAGAACAGAAACATCAGTTCTGAGGAAGAGAACAAATAAAATCCTGCTTCTCTGGGAGCCCAAACAGTCAGTTTGCTGCTGTTTGATGAAACAAAATAAAAACACAAGTTGAACTTGGATTCAAAAGGTTTCCTGTTTTGTTTAAGTTCGAATATTTATTGTCACTTTCACCTCAAATACACAATGGTGTTTACACTAATAGAATCACATGTGATTAGGCTCATTCTCATCTGAATCAGTCACAAGCATTTTGGTATAAATAATATTTTAGTGTGTAAGTTTTGAATCTCTCAGCTAACAAAGTATTCAAACGCCTGTCAATTTATCACTGTTATATTGCAACCATTTGCTAAAATCAATTAAATTCATTTTTTCCCTCATTAATGTACACACAGCATCCCATAATCACATGGTCCCAAGAGGTGTCCAGCAGACAGGGGACTATAAAGGGCATTACATAACAAAGAAAAGCCCTTCCCATTTCATGCTGTCTGCAATGGCTGCACATGGAAGAGAAATGTCACAAAATCTGAGAAAGGGAATTATTTCTTTGCACTAAAAGGTGTGGGCTACAAGAAGATCAGCAAAGCTTTACATATCAGCCAGAATACTGTAGAAAAAGAGATCCAATAATTTATGAAAGATGGTAGTGCAACCATCTCACAGAGATGTCCAGGCCGTCCACAGAAGTAAACATCTGGACAGGAGCAACTTCTGATGAGAAGGGTTGAAGAAAATCACCATGCAAGTTCAGTGCAGTTAGCTAAAGCAGTAGAAAGCTAACCTGGAGTGACAGTTTCCCATGACACCATACGGCGCACACTGCAGAGGAATGGCATGCAGGCATATCGTCCACGAAGGAAGCCTCTCCTAAAGCTCATGCACAAAAAGCACTCCTAGGAGTTGCTAGGACACATGCTGACAGAGATGAAGACTACTGGGACTCTAGACTCTGGAGTGATGAGACAAAGATCACAGCTTTTGGAACTAATGGTTTCAAACCTGTATGGGGTAGTAAAGGTGAGGATTGGATTTCAAAGAGAAATGCATGGTGCCTACAGTGAAGCATGGTGGTGGCAGTGCCATTATGTGGGCTACATGAGTGCTGCTGGTGTTGGGGAGCTGCATTTCATTGATGGCATCATGAACTCAACAATGTAATGCTCTATACTGAAGGAGAAGATGCACTTGGTCGTTGTGCACTTTTGCAACACAGCAATGATCCAAAAACACACATCTAAAGCTACTGTTGCATTTCTGAAGAAGAACAGGGTGAAGGTGATTGAACGACCAAGTATGTCTCCTGATCTGAACCCGATCCAACACCTGTGGGGAATTCTGAAGCAGCAAGTTGAGCATCACTCTCCATCCAGCATCCAGGCTCTAAAAGATGTTCTTCTTGAAGAATGAAAAAAGATAGATATTGCAATATGTCGCCATCTTGTTCATTCCATGTCTAGAAGACTTAGTGCTGTCCTTGAAAATCACGGTGGTCACACAAAATACTAGATGTAGTAGTTTTTGTTGTGGGGTGGATTAATTTCTGTTTCATCCAATTTTAGTTAAACTGAAGACTTTGTGATCTAAGTTATATTAAATATCCTGATTTCATGTTATGGAGTTAAACAAGAGTTCAATAAAACCCATCCTTGTGAAAGTTCTGGAAATTGTTCTTTTGTTCATTGAGCTACTTAATACACTCATACTTTTTAAGAGAGTGTACTCATTTATGCTGAGCACTGTATCATTACAATACCATGAACATATATCGATACATGTAGCTCAGATTTTTCTCAGATTTCACCACACTTAGTGGTGTGTGTGTGTGTGTGTGTGTGTGTGTGTGTGTGTGTGTGTGTGTGTGTGTGTGTGTGTGTGTGTGTGTGTGTGTGTGTGTGTGTGTGTGTGTGTGTGTGTGTGGGTGTGGGTGTGGGTGTGGGTGTGGGTGGGTGTGGGTGGGTGGGGGGGCATACCCCACCGAAAGTAGGTAGTTGTGCCCCTGACTACGAATGAGAATCCTACAACCAGAGGTGAATGAGCTTAAATAAGAGGAGGTTGTTAAGGAAAACAAGGCACAGGTGTCTATTGACTGGCGAGTGTGTCACACACAAACAACGAGAACATTAGGGGAAAACTGACGCTTTGAAGTCTTTAGAATAACAATCTTTCGATACAATAAAGAATATTAATTTAATCTTTTTAAAGCAAGATGGCTAAAATAGTACACTTTTTATTATTAAAACCCTTTTTAAACACAAGATGGCGCCAAAAATAAATCTGAGGAGGCAGACTGGTAAATGGCCTGCACGTGTACACTTTACCTACAATCATTCATACATACAGTATTGCAATACTCTGTAAAATAACACATGTCTTCAGCATCCACATTACAAACACTGGAAAAAAAAAGACTGAATGTGTTTTTAAATGCACACAAGAAGCCGGACAGACAGAATGACATGTTGCTTGTTTTGCTCTAAAACCTGTTAGGACATCTCTCAGACTCCTCCAGACAAGGACTGTACTCCTGGCGGCACGTCTTTCACACACACACACTCATCATAAAAAGAGACAATCCCTCTGCAGCTCATCTGTATCTTGTTTGGCTCAAGCATCCGTCCTCAGATGCTAGGCTGTTTTAAACTGATGTGATGAATCACCGATGGTTTTGATTTTAAAAAGTAGCATCTGGAGCCCCAGAGGGTTGTGTTCACATTTGGAAGATGAAGACTCAAAGAAGTGTGTTCAGTAAAAACGTGTGTTGTGTTCCCCTTTTATCATGGGTGATAAACTCAGAGATTATCCTGATGCCAGACCCTGATGTTGGGATTATTTTCCACATGGTGCCAAATCTGGTATCACTTTTGTCAAGTCAATGAGTGACTGGAACGTTACTGAACTATGAAACAGGATGCTGGGAAATAAAGGAGATTCAGGTTGGGCAGCTGGGGAATAAATCCAAGGTCAGGCAAGAGTGGTTGACTTCTCAAATAATCTAGTGACATCCGGTAAAGGTTATGCTATCTGTCAGACCTGTTCAAAAATAGGAGCAGATATCACCATGGAAACAGATAAACATCTTTACTTACTAGAACAATCGTGGCTCTAGATCTGAGCAAAATGCAAAAGTAGCATCTGAGACAGAAGCTTTTCCTTGTTTCCAGCAGCAAGTCTCCCCAGATGAGCTAATCAAAACAGCAGCAAAAAAAAAACCTTTCTTCAAATCATTAAACCTGTTTAAAACCAGTTTGATCATTGAAATAATATTTTCTAAATATCTGTTCCAGTTTGTTTAAGCAGCAGTAAATTTATTCACAGGGTGAAATCACAGCTTGTATCCAGCAGGGGGACACCTTTTGTTCCTGCTGGCTTATTCTGAAGGAATGTGTTGGTTTTAGTTAGAATTACTTTTATTATAACAAAAAATATGTATGTAAAACACTGCATCTTCATCATCATCATCACCATCATCATCATCATCATCATCATCATCATCATCATCATCATCACCATCATCATCATCATCATCATCATCATCATCATCATCATCATCATCACATCATCATCATCATCATCATCATCATCATCATGGTAAAATGGTAGATGGCCTGTATTTGATATAGCGCCTTCTAGAGTCCTGGAACCCCCCAAGGTGCTTTACAACACAATCAGTCATTCACCCATTCACACACACATTCACACACTGGTGGGGATGAGCTACGATGTAGCCACAGCTGCCCTGGGGCGCACTGACAGAGGCGAGGCTGCCGAGGACTGGCGCCACTGGTCCCTCTGACCACCACCAGCAGGCAAGGTGGGTTAAGTGTCTTGCCCAAGGACACAACGACAGCGATAGACTAAGCGGGGCTCGAACCTGCAACCTTCCGATTACGGGACGAGCACTTAACTCCTGTGCCACTGTCGCCCATCCTCATCATCATCATCATCATCTTCATCTTCATCATCATCACCATCATCATCATCACCAACACCACCTACCACCACCATCATCATTATTATCATCATCATTATTATCATCTCCATTATCACAATCATCATCATAATCATCATCTTCATCTTCATCATCATCACCATCATCATCATCACCAACACCACCTACCACCACCATCATCATTATTATCATCATCATTATTATCATCATCATTATTATCATCTCCATTATCACAATCATCATCATAATCATCATCATCATCATCATCATCACCACCACCTACCACCATCATCATTATTATCATCATCATTATTATCATCTCCATTATCACAATCATCATCATAATCATCATCATCATCATCATCACCACCACCTACCACCATCATCATCATTATTATCATCATCATTATTATCATCTCATTATCACAATCATCATCATAATCATCATCATCATCATCATCACCACCACCAACATCATCATCATCTATATGATCATCATTACCATCCCCATCACCATCATCACCAACACCGCCACCACCGTCATCATCATCATCATCATCATCATCATTATCATCATCATTATCACCGCTGCCGTGGTCGTCATCATCATCATCATCTACATCATCACCATCATCATAATCTTCATCATCATCTTTACCATCACCATCATCACCAACACCACCACCACCACCGTCATCATCATCATTATCATCATCATTATCACCGCTGCCGCGGTCGTCATCATTATCATCATCTACATCATCATCATCATCATAATCTTCATCATCATCTTTACCATCACCATCATCATCATCACCGCTGCCGCTGCCGCCGTTGTCGACATAATCAGCACAATCATCATCATCATCATCATCATCATCATGATTATCATCATCAACACCACCACCACCATCATCATCATCATCATCATCATCATCATCACCATCATCATCATTATCACCACTACCACCATCATAATCAACACCACCGCTGTCGTTGTCGTCGTCATCATCATCATCATCATAATTATCATCATCAGCACCACCACCATCATCATCATCATCATCACCATCATTGTCATGTCTCTTAGAACTTAAGTCATAAGTGAGGGTTGGAATGTTTGCTGGTTAGTAAATTTCATTAATGATGATTTCATTCTCTCTCTCTCTCTCTCTCTCTCTCTCTCTCTCTCTCTCTCTCTCTCTCTCTCTCTCTCTCTCTCTCTCTCTCTCTCTCTCTCTCTCTCCAATGTCTCCAATCCAACTAGCAATGAGGATTAGGTGGATTGATGGGCAGACTGTCCTATTTCCTTAGAAAAGTGTTTAAGATTCACAATACTTGTATTTATTGATCACACACATGAAACAAAATCATTTGATTATCTAATGCTTAAACCAAAAGTGGTTCTGGCTGCCACCTCTGCTTTTTTACATCTTATAATTATTAATTCCAGAAATCTGAAAAGAAACAGTTAAATTGACTCTAATTACCTCCACCCAACATTGTTCATGAAGGCATGAGTGATTGTTTTCCATTCCTGTCCGATCACATGAACTGTGTTTCTGTTCAGAGAAAACTAGCCACGTCAGTTTGTGTTTAACTACTTTATCGCTCTAAGTTACGTTTAGTCTTTCTCTCCTTGAAGGAATCTGGCCCAACCCTTGACTTTCTCTTGTTAAAGTTGTTTTGTGAACAAATGAAAAGTATTTTTTGTAAAGTTCCTCCTTTTCCTCCTCCTTCTTCTGTCACAGGAATGTTCTATGGAAGATGCTCCTCCCCTCAGAGACGGGTGAGGGAAAGAGGGGGTGAAGGGCCATGACGGATCAAATGGAGAAGAAAAAGGGAGAAGAGTGTGTTAAAAAGGAGGAGGAGAAAGGCAGGGGCAGCAGGCTGCTTCAACCGTCAGGTCCCAGTGTTTTCCCCTTCTGCTTGTGCTGACTCTCATCAGAGAGGAGGAAGTTCCTCAGACGTCGTCCAGCTCATCCCTTTCATGCTCACATTTTGAATAAAGCACTTAATCGGCAGCTGTTTACCTGCATCTGTAGGTCAGATGTTGAGTTATTTTTGCCGCTAGCTTAATATTCAGAGCTTTTTCTGGAGTACGTCTTGTCCATTTCATCCTAACTTTGCAGGCATGAGGGCTGAGGTGCTGTTCGTCTGGGTCGGAGTGGGCTTTTGTTGTGCTCTGATCTGTGCTGAAGCGCATGAGGAGGAGAAGCAGCTACCCAGCAACCATGCCCGGATGAGAGAAACCCAAGATTTGGTCGAACCAGGAAGAGAAGGAAAACACCACGATGTTGAAATGTCAGATGAGCCAGCAGAATTTACAGAAAAGACAAAACCAAAGAAAAAGAAAACACCTGAGGAAATTGAGGCAGGTAAGTGGAGGCTTCTGCAAACAGGCATTTCTGAGGCGAGTAAAACATCTAAAGGGGAGTTTTCTTGACCTTTCCTGGCCTCTACTGCTTTCAGAGCTCTCACTCACAGCTTGCAACCATAACACTGAGACAACAGACAGGAAAGGCTGCAATCTGTCTCTGACGCAGGAAATCCTTTACTTCAAATGAAAAAAGCAGTGCTCTGCTTTCAGCTACACCTCTTAAAACATCCAGAGATCCTTTTGATAATTACATTTTAAAAGTCTTCTAAACCACTAAACACTGGGGGGAGGGGGGTTACTAAAGAATCTCTGAATCAGAAAAGATGGAACAGAAACTCACAGTGAATCAAAGCCTGATCTGACACTTTCTAGGCAGTTTCACCATGGCAGTTTACATGATCTGCTCTTGGGACCTGGAATGGTGTCCACACCATGGTAAAAGTTTTAGGAGTCTGTTTTGATGCAGACTGATGACAAAATGAGCCTGTGTGGTGGGAGCATACATGAGGAAAACACATCTGTGGGGGAAAAAAACACAAAGCTGCAGCAGAAGGGTTCCTACTACAGTTTTCCATTAGGGAGCAAAGAGGATTTATGAGAGGTCCCACTTTCAGGAGCGCTGATGTAGAAACACTCGTGTTCTGACTTTCCACTGCATAAAGTAAAACCACAGGCCTGGCAGCCTGGAAGAACTGGGTTACATAAAGATAGACAATTAAGAAGAAACTCTAAGTTTCTTAAACCTCCAAGGATATGTGAAGAAAATGAAGACCTCTGCATGCCCCCTCGACATCTTATCTTAATCTTTGTGTAAAAGTGCTTTTCAGTCCATTGGTCCCAGCGTGTTCTCCATGATTAATGCTTCTCTGGTTTCTGGTCAGGTTCCTGCTTACTTTAAGAACGCTGTAATCCACCCGCTTCTTTAAAACCCGAGTCTCGACCCCTCTCTCCATAGCAGCTTCAGACCCATCTCTAAACTTCCGTTCATCTCCAAGATCTTGGAAAAGGTTGTGGCTAAACAACTCACAGCTGCTCTTGATGAACATAAAATCTATGATAGCTTCCAGTCAGGTTTTTGTAGAGCTCATTCTACTGAAACAGCTCTTCTTAGGGTCTCTAATGACCTTCTGACTCACAGTGATGCAGGGGACTGTTCTGTTCTGGTCCTGCTGGACCTGACGGCAGCCTTTGACACTGTTGACCATCACCTGCTACTGGAGAGGCTGGGAGACTGGGTAGGCCTATTAGGAACTGCTCTGGAGTGGTTCTCCTCTTATCTCTCTCAGCGCTCCTTTTCTGTGGCCATCTCCAAGTTTAGGTCCTCCACCACCTCTCTTACCCATGGTGTCACACAAGGTTCTGTGCTGGGGCCTCTGCTCTTCCTCCTCTATCTGCTTCCTCTTCAGCACATCCTGAGCTCTTTCAAAGGAATCTCCTACCATCTTTATGCAGATGACATCCAACTGTACATCTCCTTCAAGCCCCATGAGACGTCTAAGTTGCAGCTGTTACACACCTGCTTAGACTCTATCAAAACCTGGGTGGCTGGGAGCTTTCTTCAGCTGAATGAAGATAAGACTGAGATCCTCATCTGTGCCCCAGACAAGCTGGTTCCTAAAGTCAGAGACTCTCTTGGTCAGCTTGCTTCTCACACCAAACCCTCCATCAGGAATCTTGGTGTGACCTTTGACCCAGCTCTCACCCTGGATTCTCATGTCAGTTCTCATGTTTGCTCTTCCTTCTTCCATCTCAGGAACACTGCTAAGCGGAGTCCCATTCTGTCTTGCTCTGAACTTGAGACAGTTATCCACACCTTCATCTCCTCACGCTTAGACTACTGTAACTCTCATTTCACGCGTCTGAGCAGAACCTCCCTGAACCGTCTACAGGTGGTTCAGAATGCCTGTGCTCGGCTTCTGACCAAGCCCTCCAAACACACCCACATCACCCCACCACTCCTCCAGCTTCATTGGCTGCCAGTCAACTTCAGGGTTCATTTCAAGATCCTGGTTCTGGTCTTTAGGGCTTTACATGGACAAGCACCATCTTACAGTGGCGATCTTCTTAGTCCCTACACCCCCAGCAGGTCCCTGAGGTCCAGTGACCAAAGCCTACTGGTTGTGCAGCACCAGGCTAAAGACCAAAGGTGACAGACCATTTGCTGCTGTGGCCCCCAGACTCTGGAACTCTCTCCCCCTGAGTCTGAGATCAGTGGACTCAGTGGTCTCCTTTAAAAAACAGCTGAAAACTCGCCTGTTCAGGCTGGCTTTTGTGTGACCTTCTTCACCCCCCCCCCCCCCCCCCCCCTCTCTCTCTTTATTCTGCTCTCCCCACCTATTCCACCTTCCTCAGGATCCACTGATTTCCCTCTTTCCTATTCACTCTCTCTCTTTCTCAACATTTTTTTAATCACAATTGTCTATTTTTTGCTCATTTTAAATATATTTTTAACCATTTTCTAAATTCTTTTTTTATATTTTTACATTTATTGTTTTTGTGAAGCACCTCGTGATTTTTATCACGATCTTGAGAGGCGCTATAGAAATTATATTTTCTTCTTCTTTTGTCCAGAGTTGATGACCGAGGGACAGGTTACTGAGCCCTCTCACGACCAAACTCAGCCTCCAAAAGTCTTCAAGCATTGTCAGAAAATCTATGATTCCAGTCTGCAATCGGCCAATCAAAATACACCCAGGAAGTGATGTGAAAAACTAGTGATGAGAGTGCAATGCAAGAGCAGCATTAGCAAAAATGGAGGCTTCACGCAAGAGCATGTGGACCACTCCTTTTGGAGTTTGGTTCAGAGTCTAATTAAAGAATTGTTGTGATCCTTATTGTGGTGCTTTTTTTCTGTTCATCATTGATTGTTGTCTTGGGCATCTTTCGTCTTTTAGTGACGTACTCTCTTCGGCAGGAACACTCGTGACATTAGCGTGTCTTGCTAGGGTGAGAAATCATGCATTTTGGCTCAATCCAATCCTGGGCTGGGTGATGTGCCGCCTCTCTAGAGTCTTCACAGAGTGACATGAAGCAGCCCTTTGCAACAGGCGAAATATGCAGTGTGAACCAGGCTTAACAGAAAATGCTGAAGGAGAAGTCTGAACTTTGACCTAAAATACTCTAATGTAGCTAAATTAAAACAAGTCAGCCATTCAAATAATTTTCCACAACAATGGATTGGGCTGTACTTTTAAAAACATTTAGCACCCAAACTGAACCATCTTCTGTTCAAACTCATTAATTAGTTTAAACACCTTTCTTCTATGTGTTCAGTTTTTCATTTTAAGGCACCAGTCACCTAATGTACCAACAAAAGCTTTAGCTTCAGTGATGCATTGGATGGTTTAAATTGTTTTTATTCCTCTAGACATTCTATTGATTTGCTGCTGTGTTTGTGATCATCTCTTTCATCCCTCAACTTTGAGCCAAGTCTCAGATGTCGTACAGATGACCTCATCGGTCTCTCACATCAAACTCCATTTGTAACCAAGATTATCATGAGATTCTTTTTGTTTCAAGCTTCAGCTGTCAGCCAGATGGCCTCATGCTGGTCTCTAGAATTAACAGAAATATTCAAGCTGGACCAGTGACTGTAGAATTAACCCAAATCACCAGCCCTCCACCATCGTGCTTAACACCCAGAATTGGGATTTGTGCCGGGTTTGGATGTTCACTTATTGTGGTGGGAAACATTTTTGGAACGATGTCCTGAAACATCTAGGTTTTTTTCCAGCAGCCACCCAGATGCTACATCCTAATTGCACATGTGCTTCAGAGGACAACATGTGTCTGAGAAACAGAACAGGATGTGTTTCCGTTTACAGTCAGAACATCAATCAACTAAAAATAAAATAAAACTGTTCATTCAGGGGTTTTTTTTGTTGCAAAAACTCTTCATATTTGAACAAGTGATTTAAATCAGTGGCTCCCGAGGTCAGGATGCCTTTGCATGTCTGAAATCATTTCTAATGTTATGATAATGCTTTTAGTGAGCAGACGCCCAAAAAGTTAGGAACCATAAATTTCTAATTGTTTCAACATATTTTGCACTGTATCTTAGTCAAAAAAGACCCACTTGCAGAAAAACGCCACACACCAAGAAGCTTTGCACCTAAAGAGTGAGTCACTGTTGTGTTCAGGTGCAGGTGGAACATCAGGAAAACAAGCAGCCCTGTGTGCCTACGCTGGAGTATGATAACAGGTGTGGCAAAACTGGATTAGAAACTCTTTTTAAGGGAAGAGCTCTTCCCTGTGATATCTACATGACTTCTCCTTAAACGTCCTATTAAACACCTCCAGGTTTATAAACAACGTGTCATCAGCCTCATGGGTGGGTAGACCTAAACGGCCACATCCCAAACCAGAATTCTGCTCAACTCTAAATGTAATTGGAATTATTTTGCTGACAAATAAAACTCTTGTTTTATATATATATATATATATATATATATATATAGATAGATAGATATAGATATAGATATATATAGATATATATATATATATAAAAAAAACAAGACAACATTTATATGTCCATTCAGATGCTTCATGCTAAACCAAACCGATATGTCTTTATTTCAGCCTACCACATAAAACTGGGCAACGCTCATGGTCCAAACATCTATCCATCAAACCACCAAAGAAAACTTGTTTTTGGACTCAGGCCCAAGTAAACTAACTAGCCCATTGGATTGACTCTCAGAGGCAGACTTTGGAGGAGCTGTGAAACAAGCAGCCACCGGGCACAGACATGAAAAACATTCCTGTCTACACACACATTATGTAGTCAGGCTTTGTGCTCTAAAGAGGTGTTCTAATCCAGGAAGCTTATCCAAGTTTATCTGTTACAATCGTGTTGATCTGGGCTTGGTGTAGCAGGACAGACCACCAGTCCATCACAGAGACACAACTACACACAACTATACACACCTAAGGTCAGTTTTAGAATTACCAGTCAGGCTGTGGTGGGATGAAACCAGGCTACCCAGTTAAATCCCATGCATACACAGGGAGAAAGCCCTCAGCCAGGAATTTAATCCAGGATCTGCTTGCAGCAAAACAACAGTGCTGACCAACTTCACCACTGTGCATCCCCATTTAACCCTTAAATCAAGATGCAATAGATTTAAGTTTTTAATGAATAAACCAACTTTTTCTCTTTTCTGAAGCAAGGGCAAAGAAGGCAGCAGAGAGAGAAGCCAAAGCAAAGAAGCAGAAAGCCCCAAAGCCTACAAAGAAGCCCAAACTACCAAAGCCTACCAAGAAACCAAAACCACCTAAACCTACTAAAAAACCAAAGGCACCCAAACCCACTAAGAAGACCAAAACAACGACCATGGCACAGCCAGACATCCAGCCTCCTTCTTTGGAAGAGGAGCAGGAGAAACTTGGCTTGAACACAAGTAAGTAATCTTGTGGTTGAGATCCAGAGGGAAATCTGAACAGTAACTGTAAATCTAGAGAGAAGTAAATTATGATTCTTCCAATTTCTTCTGCCTGGTTGACTGAGAAAGCATGTTAAAATCAGAAAATAGGCATGTTTTAACCTATGTTGTGACCTTTTCAGTGATTCCTCCCATCACCCCGAAGGAGTCTGTTGAGCCAGACCTGGGTAAGACTCTAGCAGAAGACCTGACTGAAAGGTTTGCCCTAAAAACCCAGAAGAAATCTGTTGCAGTCTACAACTTTGGTGCTATTGGTTAAAATAAAAGGACAGAGAAATTCAAAAAACTTAACATTAAATTTTAAAGGTGTGGCTCACTGAAAAAACATTTTTTAATTATTATTAAGGGATCTGCTGCAGAAACAGGCAGGGCCCTTGTTGTTATGCACCTGGTGGGGGTTTTGACATTAATCGTCTTCATTATTATTCTTCCGCGGACGTTCATGTGGCTCGAACGGCAGCATGCACCCCCACAAATTATGCATCAAAACAAGCGGCTCGGCGGTGGGAGGTGTGCTATTACTTTTCTAAGTGATCCGATTTACCATGGCAAAATAATTAGCAAAAACAACTTTAAAATATTTGGGCGGATCAAACTATCCTTTAAAATTTTTAGTGAGTGAATTTGCATAAAAACTATCTTGAGCCAGGTGGCAGGTCCCTTTTAAAATTTCTTCAGGAGTTTTCTAGTTTTCTAGTTTCTAATTATATAACTGGTCACTCATGCAGGATGAACATGAAAACAGTCTCCTACACCTATCTCCTGCATTAGCTTCTGATAGAAAATAGACAGTGAAACTCTAGGATTAGAAAAGTCTGACAGATCTACGCCACACTGTCACTTAGCATTCATGATCTCACCCATCTTGACTCATGACAGGGAAGGTTGTTGTTTTGACGTCCAGGAAACAGCAGACAACGTCCCAACTAGTAAAATCTAACCATTAGCATTAGCAACACCACCACAAAGGAAAAACTCCTCCAGACTTGTGTTAGTAGTGGAGATAAAACATCCACGTTGGAGGTCACTGGTAGAGTTGCATTGCTGTTGTCCCATCTGAGGCTAGATGTCCAAATATCAGAAAATAAGACTTCAAATCCTGCCGTCTGCTGCCACTTTCTGCTGCAACAGACTTGTCCAAACCTAGTGAACCCTTGTCCCAACCTAGTGAACTAGACCAAATTCTTGCTTTGCAAAGCTTTGATCTAGGAACACTCCATTGGAACCTCCACAGCCCCTAGCAGCATGCCAGCTAGGGTCTGGTGGGCAGGATGATGCGACAGAGTGGAACAAGTTGGCAACAGCTCGTTTGAAACTGCTTTTACATCAGTTTTGGACTATTTGGACCTAGGCTTTATTAGTACCAGGAGCAGATAGATGTATTTAAGTCCTATATTTAGAAAACGGGTGTATTTTTCTTCAACAGCGGATTGACTCATTTACCGACATTCGTAGCGGTGACCACGTCACATTGTTCATTGTCCAACAGCATGCAGAGGTAGTTTGAAAAACAATGATAGAACTCACCCCACGACCGAGAACTGTGAATAGAGCGTTGCCAGACTAAATAATAGTGCTTGCTAGACTAACTCGCCTATGCTGATCCAAGTAAATCTGTACTTGTTTTGCCTCTAGTATATGAATTGCAAGGCATTCATTCCTACCAGAGGCCACAGCAAGTGTAATAATTAAATGAGTTTCCCACACCTTAAATTTTCAACAGTAATTTTAAAGTAGATATGAGTGGATGTCATGGTCTGCGTCCTGCGTACCCCTCATGTGTTCTCCAGCCCCCCTCTAGGTTCCCCTTATGTGCCTCCTTGGGTTCCCCAGCCCACTCCAGGTTCCCCCCTTAGGTTTCTGTGCCCCTGTAGGTCTCCAACCCCTCCAGGTGTCCCTCTAGGATCCCCCTCATGCGTACCTAAGCTTCCTGAGCCCTTCTTGTCTCCAGCTCCCACCAGGTTTCCCAGGTCCACTCATTCTTTAATTTTCTTGTATTTATATTATCTAGCTAGTTTTTCTCTGTAGTTTTCATAGGTTCAGGTTTTCTTCTAGGTTCCTTCCTTGGTCCTTCCCCACCAGTTTATTAGTTCTCCTTTTCTCCTTAGATCATTAGTTATGTGTCTTCTTTTTCTAGTCTTTAGGTTTGGTTATTATTCACAGGTCATGTTTTATTTCCCCTACTCAGCTTAGATTCCTCTCCCTGATAAGTAAATTGATTCCACCAGGTTTCTCTCTTCCCACACACCTGCAGTTCATCTCCCAATCATCCTGCCCCTGTGTATAAAACCCTGTCTGCGTCTCAATGTGTTGTCGGTCCACTGTCCTTGTCAGCATTGTTTGTTCTCCCTCCCCTCTTAGGTCTCTAGGTTTATGGCTTTGTGCCCTCTTAGATTCTAGTTTTTTTGGGCTAAATCTTTCTTAATAAAGAATGTTTTCTATTACATCCTCTCCTGCCTCGTGTCGTTCTGGGTATCTGCGCATTGGGTCCTAATCCTCCAACCCACATCGTGATAGTGGAACATTAGTAAAAAGTGTAGTTTTGCTTTAGTTCACAGTTGCTTGCAATGTATCAGTGTTTTATTAATGACGGAAAGGAAACAAATAAGAACTTACTTTTAATTACTTTCTTTTCCTTTCTGTTCTTCAAGGTCCAAAATACAGTTATAAAATACAAGTTTTTACAGTTAAAACTTTAATAGTAATCTTTCTCCTTCTTGTTTTCTTCATTAAGATACCAAGAATGCAACATCTCCAACCAAATCCCTCAGTGAGGTTGATCCAGACTACTGGGACAGAAGTAGGTTTAAACACACATCTAGTCTTTTAGAGCACAACATTTACAGATGTCATCATAAGAAGTGGCTTTAAAAACTCTGTTCCTTTTGAGTGGGTTTGCTAATGTGTTTAACAAAACTAGTGACTGCATGAAGAGTAGCCTGACCCTATGTAAAGGTATTTTTTTCTTGAAAAAGTCATGTTGTTTACAGCATTCAATGTTTTAAATGAGGCATAGACATTTTGATTTTCCATCCATTTTCATCCACTAATCCGGAGACGGGTCACGGGGGCAGTAGCCTAAGGCGAGAGGCCCAGACTTCCCTCTCCCCAGCCACTTGGGCCAACTCCTCCGGGGGAATCCCAAGGCATTCCCTGGCCAGGTGAGAGACATAGTCCCTCCAGTTCCCTGGCCAGGTGAGAGACATAGTCCCTCCACCGTGTCCTGGGTCTACCTTTAGGTCCCGGTTGGATGTGCCAGGAAAACCTCACCAGGGAGGCATCCAGGAGGCATCCTGACCAGATGCTCGAGCCACCTCAACTGGCTCCTCTCGATGTGGAGGAGCAGCGGGTCTACTCTGAGCCCTTCCTGGATGACAGAGCTTCTCATCCTATCTCTAAGGGAGAGCCCAGCCACTCTTCGGAGAAAACTCATTTCGGCCACTTGTATCCGGGATCTCGTTCTTTCGGTCACTACACAAAGTTCATGGCCATAGGTGAGAGTAGGAACGTAGATCGACCAAGAAATTGAGAGCTTCGCCTTCTGACTCAGTTCTCTCTTCACCACAACAGACCAGTACAACACCCGCATCACTGCAGATGCAGCACCAATCCGCCTATCGATCTCACGCTCCAGTTTTCCCCATCTCCTGAACAAGACCCCAAGATACTTAAACTCCTCCACTTGGGGCAGGACTTCATCCCTGACCCAGAGAAGGCATTCTACCATTTTCAGAATCAAGACCATGGTCTCAGATTTAGAGGAGCTGACTCTCATCCCAGCTGCTTCACACTCGGCTGCGAACCGCTCCAGCGAAAGCTGAAGACCATGTTTTGATGAAGCCAACAGGACCACATCATCTGCAAAAAGCAGAGACCTGATCCTCAGGCCCCCAAAACGGATGCCCTCTGCACCTTGGCTGCATCTAGAAAGCCTGTCCATAAAGGTTATGAACAGAATCGTTGACAAAGGGCAGCCTTGGCTGAGTCCAACACTCACTGGGAACGAGCCGGACTTACTGCCGGCAATGCGGACCAAGCTCTGACATCGGTCATACAGGGACCTAACAGCCCGTATCAGAGGGCCTGGTACCCCATACTCCCGGAGTACCCCCCACAGGGCCCCCCGAGATGCGCGGTCAAACGCCTTCTCCAAATCCACGAAACACATGTAGACTGGTTGGGCAAATTCCCACGCACCCTCCAGGATCCCCGTAAGGGCATTGAGCTGGTCCAGTGTTCCACAGCCAGGACGAAAACCACATTGCTCCTCCTGAATCTGAGGTTCAAGAATCTGACGGACCCTCCTCTCCAGAACCCCTGAATAGACCTTACCAGGAAGGCTCAGGAGTGTGATCCCCTGTAGTTGGAACACACCCTGCGGTCCCCCTTTTTAGATAAGGGGACCACCACCTCGGTCTGCCAGTTAAGTGGGACTGTCCCCGATGTCCACGCGATATTGCAGAGCCGTGCCAGCCAACACAGCTCCACAACATCCAGAGCCTTAAGGAACTCCGGGCGGATCTCATCCACCCCTGGAGCCTTGCCACAGAGGAGCTTTTTAACCATCTCAGTGACCTCAGCACCAGAGATTTGAGAGGCCAACCCAAAGTCCCCAGACTCTGCTTCCTCACTGGAAGACGTGTCGGTGGGATCTAGGAGGTCTTCGAAGTATTCTGCCCACCGATCCACAACGTCTTGAGTAGAGGTCAGCAGCACACCGTCCCCACTGTAGATAGTGTTGGTAGCGCATTGCTTTGCCCTCCTGAGGCGCTGGATGGTGGACCAGAATCTCCTCGATGCCGTACAGAAGTCTTGTTCCATGGTCTCACCGAACTCATCTCATGTCCGGGTTTTTGCTCGGCGACCACCCGAGCTGCGATCCGCTTGGATTGCCGGTACCCGTCAGCTGCCTCTGGAGTCCCACAGGCCAAAAAGACCTGATAAGACTCTTTCTTCAGCTTGACAGCATCCCTAACCGCCGTTGTCCACCAGCAGGTTCGGGGGTTGACACCACGACAGGCACCGACGATCCTGCAACCACAGCTCTAGTCGGTCGCCTCAACAATGGAGGCATGGAACAGGGTCCATTCAGACTCAATGTCCCCCGCCTCCCCCGGAACAGTTTGGAAGTTCTGTCGGAGGTGGGAATTGAAGCTCCTTCGGAGACTCTGCCAGACGTTCCCAGCAGACACCATTGCAATACGTTTGGGCCTGCCTCGTCTGACTGGCATCCTCCCCCACAATCTGAGCCAACTCACCACTAGGTAGTGGTCAGTTGACAGCTCCGCCTCTCTCTTCACCCGAGTGTACAAGACATGCAGCCGCAGGTCAGATGAAACGACAACAAAGTCAATCATCCAGCTGCGGCCTAAGGTATCCTGGTGCCAAGAGCACATATGGACACCTTTATGTCTGAACATGGTGTTCATTATGGACAATCCATGACTACCCTCTCATTCACTGGGGTAAACCCCAACATACAGGCACCAAGATGGGGGGGCAACTAGTATGCCCACCCTTGCTCAGTGCCTCTCAGTGGGAGCAACTCCAGAGTGGTAGAAAGTCCAACCCCTCTCAAGGAAACCGGTTCCAGAGCCAGAGCCATGCGTTGAGGTGAGTCTGACTATATCTAGTCAGAACCTCTCAACCTCACACACCAACTCAGGCTCCTTCCCCACCAGAGAGGTGACATTCCATGTGCCAACCAGCTTCTGTAGCCGAGGATCAGACCGCCAAGGTCTCCGCCCTTGGCTACCACCCGTCACACACTGCACCTGACCCCTTTGGCCCCTCCCACGAGTGGTGATCCCATGGGAAGGGGGACCCAAGTTTCCTCTTCGGGCTGTGCCCGGCCGGGCTCCATGGGTGAAAGCCCGGCCACCAGGCGCTCGCCAACGTGCCCCACATCCAGGCCTGGCTCCAGAGGGGGGCCCCGGTGACCCACGTCACGGCGAGGGAACATGGTTTCCATTTGTATAATTCATCATAAGAGGTCTTCAGGCTGCTCTTTGTCTGATCCCTCACCTAGGACCTGTTTGCCATGGGTGACACTACCAGAGGCATAAAGCCTCAGACAATTTAGCTCCTAAGATCATTGAGACACTCAAACCCCGGTAAGGTGACAGCCCATTTTGATTTTGGTCAATAAAAGTCCCAGAAGCACTCCCAGTAGCCAGCTCTAGGAAACATTGAATTTTATTTCAGGGGAAAGTATCTGCCTGTGGTTCACTCTTCCTCAAAGCTGATAAAGATCTACTAGAATGTTTTATCAGCAGTCCAGGTACCTCTCCAAAGGGGGAAAAAACACTTAAGCAGGGGTGGACTGGCCTATCTGGCATTCTGGAACTGTCCCGGTGGGCTGTTTAGCCAAGTGGTTCGCTTGCCTAGCTTGGACCGGATATATGACGGATACCCCAGAAAAGTGCTACGCCTTCTGTTGTCCTGCTTTGCAACACTCCCCAGGTGACGGAGAAGTCTGAAGGCAAAACGTCTCTATCAATGTATCAGTCTCTGCCCAGAGAGCTTATGCAGAAGCATAACTAGGCTTAAGGCCCAGTATCTTTTAATAACAACATGTGAAATAACACATTTGTGTTAATGAGAAATGTTCTCATTAACACAACTTTTCCATGTAACACACCTTTTATATGTTAACATATTTATATGTTAACACAACTTTTGTATGTTAACACAACTTTTATATGGTAACACAACGTTTATATATCTTTGGTGTGTTCTTGCTGTGTTGAGTTTCACTTTCCATCTTTCAGTTCTTTTCAAAACACAGAAAAGGTTTATATACCTGCAACGTTTCGTTTGCAGCTGCAAACATCATCAGGCACATTCCAGGGTGGCCTTTTATTGTGGCCAGTATAAGGTACACCTGTGCACTACTCATGATGCCAGATCAGCATCTTGATGTGGCACACCTGCGAGGTGGTATGGATTATCTCAGCAAAGCACAGGTGCTCACTATCACACATTTAGACTGATTTGTGAACAATGTTTGAGAGAAATGGTAATATTGTGTATCTGGAATGAATTTTAGATCTTTAAGTCCATCTCATGAAAAATTGGAGCAGAAACAAAGATGTTTCATTTATATTTTTGTTGAGTGTATGTTAACTGTCACACCCGGTCATGTCTCCCCATTTAGTTCAGCCTTGTGTCTCGTTGATTACTCCCACCTGCCTCTCGTTTCCCAATCACCTTAGCTCCCAACCCTCCTGTATTTAAACCCTGTCTGTTCTTTGTACTGTGTCGGATCATTGTTTCATTGTCCAGCGTGCTTCAGTATTAAAACCCTTTGAATGTGCTCACCTGTCTGCCTGTTTTCCAGCTCCGCGTTGGATCCTCATCTCAGCTCCGTTCCTCTCAGCAGCGCGCTGACAGAATGATCCGACCCAAACCCGTTGTGAGATCCAGCGAGGAGATTCTCCCGTGGGAGCACCTGCTTCAGTGGCTCACTCCGAGCCACCACCCAGCTTCTCCATCGCCTTCCCCTGCTTCAGTTCTGCCTCGCCGAAAACGCCGTCCTCGGCCATCAGCCGCAGCAATCCTCGCTGCTCTCCCGGAACCGGACGAGGGGTCGGACCGGGAGCCGCTTCCGGATCGCTCCAGCTTCGTGGGCACCCGCCTGGCTGTGTGCTCCCCAGGAGTTGGCCCACGGCGTGGGGAGGCATGCCGGGCTCCACCGCAGCGGCTGGTCCCTGGACGGAGCCGCGAGCTCGCTGCAGTTCTGGCTCAGTGCGCCAACTTGGACACGCCCCCAGTCAGACCAGCAGTCCCGTCTCCGGTCCAACTAGCGCCTTCGTCATCTGCAGGCGGAGGAACCACGCCCACAGCCCAGCTGATGGAGCTCCAGGCGGAGCTTGACCGGATCCGCCAGCTCGTCAGCCTCCAGGAGAGTCACCTGGACACTCTATCCTCCCCGAACCGCCAGGAGAGGAGTGAGCCCGTCCACCCAGCGGAGCTCGCTGGTCTCCGGGCTGAACTGGCCCAGCTCCATCGAACCCTCAACCTCCAGGAGCTTCAGCTGGACGGGCTGTCCCCCCTGCTCTCACGGCTTCCAGCCCTACCAGTTCCACCACTTCCAGTCCAGCCTGTCCAGGCAGCCCCTCCTGCAGCTGCCTCGCCTCCACTCCAGAGGGCCCAGAAGCAGAAGGGACGGGCTCAGAAGCAGAAGGGATGGGCCCAGAAGCAGACGGTTCCGGTTCTGGCCCCGAAGCGGACGGGTCGGCCCCAGCAGTCGGCGGTCCAGCAGTCGACGCCCCCGGACCAGAAGTCGACGCCCCCGGACCAGAAGTCGACGGTCCAGAAGTCGACGGTCCAGAAGTCGACGGTCCAGAGGTCGACGGTCCAGGGCTCTGTGGCCGACGCCCCTGCCAGTCCTGTGGCCGACGCCCCTGCCAGTCCTGTGGCCGACGCCCCTGCCAGTCCTGTGGCCGACGCCCCTGCCAGTCCTGTGGCCGACGCCTCTTCCTCGTGTTCTGAAGTTGACGCCTCTTCCTCGTGTTCTGAAGTCGACGCCTCTTCCTCGTGTTCTGAAGTCGACGCCTCTGATGACGTCGCCTGTCCAGAAGTCGACGCCTCTGATGACGTCGCCTGTCCAGAAGTCGACGCCTCTGATGACGTCGCCTGTCCAGAAGTCGACGCCTCTGATGACGTCGCCTGTCCAGAAGTCGACGGCTCTGATGACGTCGCCTGTCCAGAAGCCGTCGCCCCTGATGACGACGTGTCCGAAGTCGTCGCCCCTGATGACGACGTGTCCGAAGTCGTCGCCCCTGATGACGACGTGTCCGAAGTCGTCGCCCCTGATGACGACGTGTCCGAAGTCGTCGCCTCCTCCTCTGATGACGACGTGTCCGAAGTCGTCGCCTCCTCCTCTGATGACGACGTGTCCGAAGTCGTCGCCTCCTCCTCTGATGACGACGTGTCCGAAGTCGTCGCCTCCTCCTCTGATGACGACGTGTCCGAAGTCGTCGCCTCCTCCTCTGATGACGACGTGTCCGAAGTCGCCGCCTCCTCCTCTGATGACGACGTGTCCGAAGTCGTCGCCTCCTCCTCTGATGACGACGTGTCCGAAGTCGTCGCCTCCTCCTCTGATGACGACGTGTCCGAAGTCGTCGCCTCCTCCTCTGATGACGACGTGTCCTCCTCTGATGACGTCGCCTCCTCCTCTGATGACGTCGCCTCCTCCTCTGATGACGTCGCCTCCTCCTCTGATGACGTTGCCTCCTCCTCTGATGACGTCGCCTACTCCTCTGATGACGTCGCCGCCTGATGACGTCGCCTCCTCCTCTGATGACGTCCCGTCTGATGACGTCGCCTCCTCCTCTGATGACGTCCCGTCTGATGACGTCGCCGCCTCCTCTGATGACGTCGCCGCCACGTCCGATGACGCCCCGTCTGACGACGTCCCCGAAGTCGGCTCGTCTGACGACGTCGCCGCCTCCTCTGATGACGTCCCCGAAGTCGTCTCGTCTGACGACGTCGCCGCCTCCTCTGATGACGTCCCCGAAGTCGTCTCGTCTGACGACGTCGCCGCCTCCTCTGATGACGACCCCGAAGTCGGCTCGTCTGACGACGTCGCCGCCTCCTCTGATGACGTCCCCGAAGTCGGCTCGTCTGATGACATCGCCGCTGCCTCGTCCTCTGAAGTCGGCTCGTCCGATGACATCGCCGCTGCCTCGTCTGGGGATGCTCTTTGCACTCAAGGGGCCGACGCTCCATCCAGCCCGGCGTCTCCACGGTCTCCGGTTCCGATGGTGGTTTTGAGGGCAACGCCGGCCCAGCCTGCAGTGACTTTGTCGCCGGCCCAGCCTGCAGTGACTTTGTCGCCGGCCCAGCCTGCAGTGACTTTGTCGCCGGCCCAGCCTGCAGTGACTTTGTCGCCGGCCCAGCCTGCAGTGACTTTGTCGCCGGCCCAACCTGCAGAGCTCCTCTCCTGCCGCAGGCGCCGGCCTCGAAGGGCCCGTCACCTCCTCATCTGCCGCAGGCGCCGGCCTCGAAGGGCCCGTCGCCTCCTCATCTGCCGCAGGCGCCGGCCTCGAAGGGCCCGTCGCCTCCTCATCTGCCGCAGGCGCCGGCCTCCAAGGGCCCGTCGTCTCCTCCTCTGCCTCAGACGCCGGCCTTCTAGTGCTCGTCGTCTCCTCCTCTGCCTCAGACGCCGGCCCCCAGAGCTCGTCATCTCCTCCTCCTCTGCCCCTCTGCTGGTCCCTCTGTTCCTCTGGGCCCTTCCTCCTGGTTCCCCTCCTCCCACCCTGCTCCTCGTTCCTGTGGGCGTCTGGGATCTGCCCCTTGAGGGGGGGGTACTGTCACACCCGGTCATGTCTCCCCGTTTAGTTCAGCCTTGTGTCTCGTTGATTACTCCCACCTGCCTCTCGTTTCCCAATCACCTTAGCTCCCAACCCTCCTGTATTTAAACCCTGTCTGTTCTTTGTACTGTGTCGGATCATTGTTTCACTGTCCAGCGTGCTTCAGTATTAAAACCCTTTGAATGTGCTCACCTGTCTGCCTGTTTTCCTGCTCCGCGTTGGATCCTCATCTCAGCTCCGTTCCTCTCAGCAGCGCGCTGACATTAACACAACTTTTATATGTCAACACAACATTTATATGGTAACACAACATTTATATAGTAACACAACATTTGTATGTTAACACAACTTTTATATGATAACACAACATTTTTGTGTTAACACAACATTTTTGTGTTAACACAACATTTATATGGTAACACAACATTTATATGGTAACACAACATTTATATGTTAACACAACATGGATATGGTAACGCAACTTTTATATGGTAACAACATTTATATGGTAACACAACTTTTATATTTCTGCACTGATTACACACAAATGATAAAACATGAACATTTTATGTGGATCAAACATTTGGTAGCATATTATTGTCAGTGAGGGAAAAAATAAAGGATCAGTAACTTGTAATAAGAAAGTTTCTCATTTTAATGATTTGACACAAGACACGTGTAACAAAGGACAGTCTGTTTAACTGAACATGGCCAGCTTCTCATTTCCACCATTATGACAATAAACTTCAGTACTAATCAGGCTGCATGTATAGAGTTTCTACCCAGCTATCTTTTTCTTTCACTATAATAAGTCTTTAGCCTTAACAAGGTGCCTGCCAGCTTTTCACTTTAATGCGTTTATGTCATTTCAGATGTTGTCTGCATCCACCTGCACCTTTGGTCTCGTCCCGTGTTGTAGATAAGCTTTCATGACTGTAAGCTGCTGCTGATGCTTATCTTATATTCATGGTAACATTTGATTTTTGCAGTTCAGGCGCGTGGTAGATACCCTGTTAAAAAGGAGGTCACAACTACTGCGGTCATCATGTACATACCAGGTAATTACACACACTGCCATGACAGTTCGTTTTGGGTATTAGAGTAACAAGGAGGAACAAATAGTGGGAAACAAAATAACGTTCAGATCTTTACTGACTTTACTACCTGACTCAGCCAAAAGAACATAACATTTGTTTTTTTTACATTTGTGAAGAGCTGGGGTTGTCTGCTTCCTGATGTTGTGCTGAAATCTGGATTTATTTAGGCAGAGCACCAGGACTGTTTTCTTTTGACATGAATCAAGATTTAAAATATGTTCAGATTCATTTTACTTTGCACCAAGATAAATTAAAAATGAATGAATCGTTATTTTTTGTAAATTCATTCATAATAAAATGCAATAAGTATGAGGACAGAGAATGGAAAATTTAAAAAACTGGACAGCAGAATATGACTAGCACATTTATTAGCTAACAAACAAGATCTCTGAGGCATGAAGTACAAAACTGAATTAATTCAGGTCTACAGGTGCTGGCCAGTAAATTAGAATATCATCAAAAGGTTGAAAATATTTCAGTAATTCCATTCAAAACGTGAAACTTGTACATTATATTCATGCAATGCACACAGACCAATGTATTTCCAATGTTCATTACATTTAAATT